TCCGCATGGTCTCGCCCTGAGTGAGCGTGAGCCGAACAGCCAGGCCGGTGTAGTTCCGACCTGCCAGTACAATATAGATGTAGATCTAACACTGGAAGCAAAATGGACGCCTCTGCCGGAACAAAAAGCCAGGCAACTGTCTTTTCAGGCGGATGAAATGCTTCCCGAGGCTTTTGGGTCACTTGTATCACATGGCCGGCTGAAGCTACTGGAAGTAGCCTGTTCCCATGACAGCATTCTCACTGAGACTATGCAGCGGATCACCAAAAATGAAATGTCCGCTCGCCGATGCTCATTGTTCAATGGTTTTGATCTGTCAACTGATGCTGGGGTTCGAAAAGTGATTCATGAAATTGATAAGGGTAATCCTGAACATGTGTGGTTGTCACCCGTTTGTGGTCCCTATTCAGTGATGCAACAGATAAATCAGAGGACACCCGAGCAGTGTGAAGCTCTCCAAGAAAAGCGACGGCATGCGCTGAAACAATATGTGGGATGTGCTTTGATTTACACTTACTGCATTCAGAAGGGGATTCATGCTACGTGGGAATGGTCACAGAGCTGCCAAGGATGGAGACTCCCTTTCATGCAACGTTTGGTTCAGAAACACAACCCTAGTTTTGCTGTGGTTCGGGGATGTCAAGTGGGTCTTACCGATAGCCATGGGGATTTTATTTCTAAGGGATGGAAGTTGATGACCACCAACACCTTTCTGGCCAACCGCATGAACCTTCCCTGTCGCTGTGAGAAACATGTGAGGCATACCAAGTGTGAAGGTTCGTTGACCAGTCAAACTGCCTTTTACCCCAAAGCGTTTGCCCAGAAGGTCTGTGAAGCCATTAGGAAGGGTTGCAGCCGCCATGAGGTCCAACAAGAACTGCAGGGTCTCTCATGTTTGTCTGACAGTTTTGGTAATGGAGTGTCATGTGAATGTTCTTTTGGGAAGAATCACGAAGCGGGCATGTCATGCGGGTCTTGTCACCACCAAACCATGGGTCTTTTGACAGGGGAACCCACAAAAGTCCATTACCCCCAGGATGCCAGGGATGAAACATCAACCTTTTTGGGTACACAAACCAATGGTCAGGGTTCCATATCCCCCGATGAGGCTAGTAGGGCACAACATATGGAGGTCCCCACGCACATGGCTCATGCAGTAGGAAACATGGAGAAAAAAGTGGAGGACGACATTAGACGTCGTCTCTACCTGCTGCACTCAGCGACTGGACATGGACCCATAAGACACATGTTGCAAGCGTTGCGCAGAAGGGGTGTGAGTCCTGAAGTCATGAGGGTCGCCGAGTCTTTTGAGTGCCCTGTTTGTGTTGAACGTCAAAGACAAAAACCAAGGCCAGTTTCCACCTTGGAACCTTTGCCACCGAAGTGGTCCACTGTTGCAGCTGACATGGGAACCTGGGAACACCCAACCACCGGTCAGTCACATCAGTTTCTGCTCGCCATCGACGAAGGCTCAAGATTCCGAGTAGGGAGAGTCCTAGGAGAGGGTAAGAAATACCACGTAGGAGCTTCCCAGTTTTTAGAAGTTTTTCAGGAAAGCTGGTGTCAATATTTTGGACTGCCAGATAACCTCCGACTTGACCCTGATGGCACCTTCCGCAGCAAAGCTGTGGAAGAGTACTGCGATAGGCACCAAATCTTTCTGGACATCATCCCAGGAGAGGCTCACTGGAAACTCGGAGTGTGCGAAAACGCAGTAAAAGGAATCAAAGAGCTGATGACAAAGCTGGTCCTTGCCGAACCAGACCTTCCAGTGAGCGAGGCCCTAGCAGAAGCTACGCGCACTTTCAATGAAAGAGAGACCATCCGAGGATATAGCCCAATTCAACATGCCCTTGGCAGGTCACCTGACATGACCGGCCGCCTGTTCCCTCGAGCAGGCCTGAACTCACCTGACCTTCTGGTGGAAAACGCATGCGGAGAATTTCATCGCAACGTGGAGCGAATGAAGGTGGCTGAGACAGCCTTCTTAGATTGGGCCAACGCCCAGCGATTGCAACGCGCCAAGCATTCCAGAGGCCGACCAGTTCCTGATTACCAACCAGGTGATCTGGTGTTTGTCTGGCGCCAACAAGTCAGCGGACAATCCAGTGTCAAAGGGGGCTCTTTTGTTGGGCCAGTCCGATTGCTGGCCCTTGAGCATCGACAGTCTGCAGATGGAAGTGCGAAACCAACAAGTTCAGCATGGTGCGTACGAGGTCGGAGGCTATGGAAGTGCAGCACAGAACAGCTGAGACATGCCTCAAGCCGTGAACAGCTCCTACATGAACTCCATGGTCCCACAGTGGAGACATGGGATTTTCATCGAATAGCAGCCCAACTCGGAGGAAATGAGTTTCTAGATGTGTCCAAAGAGGTGCCAACAGAGGTGGAGTGGGAAGCAGCCCAAGATCTCACTCGGCACGTTCCCGAGCCACCACTCTGGGTTCCCAGGCATCGAAGGCCAGGCAAGAGAGGACCCTCGCCAGAACCAGAAGCTCCGATGGAGGATGTTGAACGAGATGTCACACCACCAGGTAGGGGAGAGAGGGATGCTAGGTCACGAAGCCCGAGAAACAGGCCTACCTCAGAGGCCGCCCCCTCAGTTGATGAGGCTTTTGAGACAGGGTCGGCATGGTGGAGCGCTCCAGAGGTACAACAAGCCTGTAGCTCACAAGAATGTGTTTTCTGGGAAAATGCCTCGGCAGCCATTGAGGTCGCTGTCGACATGCCCGTCACCAGAGCCAGTTCAGAGCGAGCCATAGCAGACCTACCAGCTTTTTTTGCCAATAGTTTTAAACGACGAGCAGCTGTTGAAGTCTCTGAGAGATACCTCAGCCCGGAGGAGAAAGAACAATTTCGAGTGTCAAAGAACATCGAGGTGAACAATTTTATTGCGGCAAAGGCCTTCGAGACAGTCCCAACACATTTGCTCCCATCAGCCAGCCAGGCTATTCGAATGAGATGGATATTGAGTTGGAAGTACAAGCAAGATGGAACAAAGAAGGCAAAAGCCAGAGCAGTCTTACTGGGGTACCAAGATCCCTGCTATGAGCAGAGGGCTACCAATTCCCCCACTACAACACGGCAAACCAGACAGCTGCAGCTCCAACTGGCCGCATCTCTGAAATTCCGTATGAGAAAGGGGGACGTGACTGGAGCCTTCTTACAATCACGGGAATACCCTGGTGAACTGTACTGCATTCCAACTCCAGAGATTTGCCAGGCAATGGGGTTACCTCCGGAGTCATTGACTCGGGTAAAGAAAGCGTGCTACGGACTGGTGGACGCGCCATTGGAATGGTATCGCTCAATTTGTCTCTTTTTTGAAAGGCTTGGACTCCAAAGGAGTTGGGCCGACCCCTGCTGTTGGTTTCTGCTGGTGAATGGAGACCTAAAAGGGCTCATCTCAGCACATGTAGATGATTTCTTGTTTTCAGGCGATGAAAAAGACAAAAGCTGGCAGCAGGTCCTTCAAGCTATCCAAAAGGAATACAAATGGAGTGACTGGGAGCAGGACAAATTCGTCCAATGTGGTGTTCTTGTGGAGCAGCATGAGGATTTTTCATTCAGCCTGTCCCAAGAAAAGTATGTTGAAGACCTGAAGTATATCAACCTTAGAGCTCACCGAAAACGAGACAAACACTCTCCCACGGATGAATGGGAAAAAACCCAACTTCGTGCTATGTTGGGAGCACTGTCCTGGCATGCTCAGCAAGTTGCCCCTCACTTTGCAGCTGAAGTCGGGTTGATGTTGTCGCAGGTGAACCATAGTAGCATAGAAACGATACTGAAGGCAAACAAACTTATGGACAAGGTGAAAGGTATGAAAGGTCATAAAATGAGAGTACACTGCATTCCACGTCATGAACTTGCCATGTATGTTTGGGTAGATGCAGGGTCACAAAATAGACATGACGGCTCAAGCACACAAGGAATAGTTTTAGGTATAGCCTCAAAACGACTCAGCCATGGAGAATGCACTCCGGTCACACTGGTGGCGTGGCATTCACAGAAGATTGAAAGAAAATGTCGCTCTCCGGGAGCAGCTGAAGCACTGGCAGCCATCAATGGTGAGGATGCCCTGTACTATGGCCGCTTTCAACTGGCAGAGATGCTTGGCTTCCCCGTCGATGTGAGAAACGTTGACCTCACAGTCAACCAAATACCAGGAAGCGTGGTGACTGACTCACGCAATGTCTATGACAAACTGGAGACTGAGACCTTGAACATTCGTGGTGCGGAGAAACGCACAGACCTCGAACTGTTAGCACTGAAGGCAGCACAGATACGAAATCAGGTTGCCATGCGGTGGGTTCACGGCGAGGCACAGCTGGCCAATGGCTTAACCAAGGGCAACGAGTTCAAGCAGTTAGAGCTCTTCTACAGCATGGGACAGCGATGGCGATTGGTGGAAGATCCAGAGAGAGCGTCAGCCAGACGAAGAAAGGCATCTGGTCTTGCCCCTCTGGAGACAAGGACCATGGCTGCTGACAAGGATAATATCCCTGATGATGTTAATATTTGACCCTTTTGTTTGTTGCGGTTTTTGTTTGCCTCTCTTCTTCTTTTTCGTGTGTTTTCGGTGTTTTTGGTTTTCATATAACACAGTAACTTCACTTCAAAGGACACAAAGTGTCCATTTGGATTTTCAGTTTGGGGGGAAGCGGGACCGATGAAAGTTCCACTTCATGCTCAGAGACCATATGTCGTCTCTTCCGCAATCAGCTCGGCTACAAGGGTGAAAACGAGGTGTGCGTGTCCAACTTTGCAAGGCGCTTTTGCCCCTTCCTTTTAGCGGCACCATCTCAGCAACAACCAGAGTGTCTTGTGCCATCTGTCCGCTTGCATAGCATACATGGATCCTATGGGTTATGAAAACTCCTTTTTTTGGGGCTCCAGCAAGCCACATTTTTGCCTGTTTCTGTTTCCAACTTTTTTTCGTCTTTTTTGATGTCCCGAAAGCATCCGGTTTCGCCACGCCACAGTTTTTGCCGCCCCAGGATGGGATGAAAGCTCCCTTGAACAATACCTTGGTGGAGGAAGTCCTGAGACGCACTACTTCCGAGGCGATGCAAAGTTTTTTCCGGCCGCTGGAGGTGGTTGGAATTTTTCAACGGAAGGCTTGCTGCGATGTCTGACATGGCACGAATATGTTTTGGTTGTTTTTTTTTTGGATCATTCGAACTGGAGGATTATTCAAAATATGGGCAATTCACCATAGTTGGGGACTATTATCATGATTTATATATGACCATTGGTTGAAAAACCAGCCATGATTTGGGGATTCACCGATCCATATGGTTCTGGACCTTGATTGGAACATATTGGAACGCTTGGTTTTTTACGAAGTTGGACAGCCGTGAGTCAGCCATAGGTGAAGTCACGTACGAATGACGTGAATGGACGTGGATTCCGTCGATGTGTTCATCCATTTGAAGAATTCATCATCTTACTGGTGCGTTTTACGTAGGGAATTTTCGGGAATGATCCACTGGCTAACTATCTATTTTCAGAATAATCCCAGCAACCCCCAGCAACCCATCCAGCAACCATGGCGATCCGATGGCGTTCCATTCGATCTGAATTGCGATCTGAATTGCTGAATGATGAAATGTGGGGATGCATCACTTAAGCTACAAAATTCAGATCACGTCTGTTTGGTCCAGATGCACATCGATAATATAAATCTCAGCTATAAAATGAGAGGATTCCAATGCTGAAAAATCACCTTTTTTTGGCGCTGGCTAGCCATGGAAAATGAACAAGCCATCTTTTTTTTTTTTGTGCTGGTGCTGTTAATTTGGCTTTCTTTTTGGCCATGATGTTCATGATGTTCATGTTTCATAGCCATATATATATATTTAATGCATTTTTCACCTTTTAACAATGGATCTTCGGGTGTCTCTGAAAGTTTCGACGTCAGAGCCAGTCCTGGAGTCCTGGACACACCCAAAGATTATCTCGTTGGATCCCTATACCAGGGCTGTTTCATCCCAATTGTTTGGGCTGTTTCATCACTATTCAAAACATAGTCGGTTAAATCCCATGATACATCTCCACTATATCCTCAATCAGGATAACCTCCCAAAACGATCGAGTTTGGGGCGCTGCTGAAAAAAGAACACACCCCGGTAGTCAAACATAGCAATGTACAATCCACCATTTAGTTTGATTTCTCATTCAACCACCATTTCAACAGATTTCCCTTGGAAAAAAAATAGCGGAACAGACCTCAGCACCATTCAGCATCTTCCCCCTGAGAGGGCAGCAGCATGATCTCCACCTATGGCGCCTTTGCCTTTGATGCTTACTATGCCTTTCTCTTCGCCATCAACGCCTTGCTACACCAAGGCCTTTCTCCCTCGGCCATCCGAGGTGCCACCAGTTGGAGTTTTTCCCATCCTTGGTGTAATAAGGGACTTTACTACGATAAGTGAGGCCCCCCCAGTTATACATAAGTTGGTTTTTAAGCCCCAGTAACTATAGTTATAAGATGTTATTTGCGTACCATAAACCATAGTGAAATTGGAGTTATGTGAACCCCAACTTAGCGTTCGTAAACGGGGGCCTCACATTGTATGTTTGTTATGGAGGGATATTTATATGAAGAAAGCTTCTGATAAAGGTGGCTTAAGAAAAATAAGAAAACCTGCCACTATCCATTGGCTGAATCTGGCAGCATCCTTGTGAGGGTAGTTCCAAGACCCGAGCCTGTGACAAACAGATGAAGACTCACGGGCTGGAACGGGCTGGAACCACATTGGCTATGCAAAATGCACGAGAAAGGTTATGCAAAAGCAGCTGAGGTTTTGAGGTTTAGCCGTCCAATTCCAGGTTTGATTACATCTCAAATTTTACATCCCAACAGTTTTTACCTCCATATATAGCAAGCCCAGAAAAACAGAACAGCAATTTATCACTTATTAAGCCAAAAATTCCATCTCTTGTGGCTTGCTATTCATGGCCAAAGGATGACATTTTCGGCAGGATTTTCGGCCCCATTGGGGTCGCCCATTGTCGATTGGTTTCTGCGGGAAAATCGACACCGGAAACCATCGATTTTCCCATTAAGATCATGGGGTTTTCCTGTCAATTTTTCCCGTGAAAACCAATCCATTGGATCCAGAATGGTCCCATTTTCGTCAGGCGAGCTTTTGCTCCATCAACTCAGCCAAACAAACTTCACGGGGGTATCAGGTTGGGCTTTCCGGGGCTTTCCGGGGCCACGATGAGTAAAGTGAGTCACCCAGCGAATTCGTCAAAAAACAACTTAAATTGTTTATAGCTTTTGGAACAAGCTTTCCTGTAGGGTAAGCAAAAATCACAAACACTGGCTTATCCCATATCTTAGCATTCAATTCATGACTTGTTGCCAGCTGTGCTTGAGATTTGACAAGATTCCTTTGACCTGTTTAAATTGCGACAGATTCAGCAGATGGTTCATTATGTTCCTTTGCAGAATCGTACGTCCCAGCTGAATGTTCGACATGATCTACATCAGTCGCATCGTCATGGTTGTTTGTAGAAGCCTTGCTATGACTACATAGAACAGCATGGTTTGACTCCTGTTGATAAGAGTTGATTTCTGTGGGAATAACATCCTAACGCGACCCCAATGTCAGCTGGAAAATGCCGCGCAGGGGAGGTGAGCTTCGATGAAAATCTTGATCGCATGTCATCCTATGAGCCCCTCATCGCAGGAACTGGGGACGAGGGGTTATTCTTCTGGCTGTTTAATTGGGAGGGTACCTTTGAAGTATTAGATGATGACTATTGGAGGAGTACCACCCTAATTTTCATAAACCATGGTTTAGCAAAATCCGGGGTTGACATTAGACAATTTCTGGTATCCTGACTGCCAACGGCCAAGCCGGGTGTTGCTCCTTACCCGAATCCCTATCGATCCCCCTATTTTTAGTGGGACAACTGCGAAAAAAAGTCCCGATTGGACAATTCCAAATTCCAAATCCGAATCCCAAACTATGGTTTATGGTAGATATAGCTATAGATAACTATAATAGTTAATGGTATTTATAAACGAATTTATAACTGGGGGGCCCCATCCTGTATGTAGTAGAACAAGGATTTATCATGATTTATCCCGCAGAGTTTTGGCGATCTCCAGTCTCCCTCGGCCAGTTCTTCACGTCCCTAGGCTCTGGAACGTGCAGGTCGCTTCGCTGTCCCCGCGGGTGGTGGCAGAATTTGCGCTGGCCACGGGGACATTTCGCTTTCGCGCCGATGAGGAGCGGAGTTTTTTTTTTGGTGAAACCACCATGAATGGAATAGGGAAATAGGGATGGAAAGAAGATGCAATGGGATATATCTACCATTGAAACACACAATAATGATAGTAATAATGCATAATAATTAACACATCATAATTAACACATAATAATAGTAACTAATAATAAATAAATATAATAATAATATTATTATATTTGTTAATTATTAGTTATTATTATTATTACTATTTTTATTGTATTTATTATTACTACTATTATTATTATCATTATTATCCTTCTTATTATGTATATACACGTGAACCGGCCAACCGGCAATCTGATTTTTGGGTTTGTCTGAAAATGGCTGGGATGGATGGGTTTTAGCCGATACAACTGGTTGATCTCAAACATGTGATGTCCAGAAATAGGATTCACCCTGAGCCGTTTTAGCTTGGATGTTGTATTTTCCCCGATTACTTTGAATTTAAGGAGGCTTTTGCAGATAAGGAGGCACATGTTTATCGTTTTCGGCCTACGAGCTGGTTTTCCCCTAGTTATAAGCTGATTAACATTCATGAAGTGACCATCAATTATATATATATATTTGATATACCCTCTGGTAATTTTTACATAGCTATTGAACATGGCCATAGAAAGTTCGTTGATTTACATAACCATTAAACATGGTGCTTTTCCATAGCTATGTAACAGTTTACCAGAGTGTATCCCTCAAAAAAATCCTCCAATTTTAAGCGGCTCCAATTCATTTGATCCAATACAATCCACCAGGCTTTCGTTTTCCTTTCGCTGGTGGTTGTTTCACATTTTTCAGAGGGATTGAAACCACCAACCATAGTAACTATATCTGATATATACTGCTTGGTGCTTTGGAACATTTTTTTTCTCCAAAAAAAAAAAGGGATAATCCTTCCCATTGACTAATATTTTTCAAGATGGTTAAAACCACCAACCAGTATATATATATAATTATATATATATCTGGGTAAATTATAACGACCTCACTGTTCTCCCTCACTATGATCATAGTTAGTAAGGGGAATCATCCCCAAATGGCCGAACTATTCAGCCTAGTGAAATAATTATAATTTACCCAGATATATAATTGGGGGTTGGGGGATTATATCATTGAAACTTATTGGTTGATCTGCAGCCATCACATTCTATACATTTCTACCATGAACCATGGCACTTGATGATGATAACCCATGATATATCTACAATGTGGGGCCCCCCAGTTATAAGTTGGTTTATAAACCCCCATAACTATAGTTCTAAGTACCATAAACCATAGTTATTGGAGTTATAAACCAACTTAGCTATCTTGGGGGCCCCACATTGTACCATGAACCATCGAATTCAGCGAGGTCTGTTCACCAGCGCTCCGGAAAACCGATAAATTTCGAGGATCTAACCTGGATGGATGGAAGTCGTGGACGGATCTTGCCCTATGGCCCCTCTGGAGAAGGGAATTTCCACCAGGGATTTTTGCACCAAGAATGAGGGAAGACTATGGAAAATCACCATTTTTAATGGGTAAATCTACATATATAGTCTGGTTGGTGGTTTGGAACCATGGAATTTTATGACGTTCCATAGATTGGGAATTTCGTAAGCCCAACTCACGAACTCATATTTTTCAGAGGGGTAGGTATACCACCAACCAGGTGAAGATGTGGATTGATTCTGGGGAAATTTGATGAAATTTTGGATTTTGAGTGTAACAATGGATGAAAACTGGAGGGAAAATTGAGTCCGGACAACGCCGACTTTCAATGAATGGCAAAAACGATCCTGTAACATTTTGCCGAAAACTGACCCGAATGTGAAAACTGGGCAATCTAGACATAGAGGCAATTGACTTCTGACCGCATCAACCTCCTCCGAATCAGATTCTTATGGCTCTGAAAAGATGGTACAGCAACGCCCCCAAATTTGATGGCATAGCCATATGTTCAACCATTTTTTTGGGCATTTTAAAATGGCGTCCCAAAACTAATTCTCTCGGCAAGCGATTTCCGAATTTTTAACCTTCTACTCCAATCGCTCAAAAAAAAGCATTCTCCAATTGGGAAGCGAAGCTGCAGAAGCTCACAATTTGAACCTTCCACTGAGGCTTGACAGTTTGCAATCCAGGAACCTTCTTCTCCAATCACACCAGGCAATGTGTGCCATGCCCAGTGGGTAGGGCCTGCCAAGATGGCCAAATGCAGCCCTGCCCTCGGGGGCACTATGCACAGGTGCCATGCCACGACGTGGGGTCATCATACCAAGGTTGCTCCAAGGTACCGAAAAGGCAAATGATAGCCAATTTTGCACTTTTGGTGGTTAATAGATTATATAAATGATTATCATACATCATTCTTAGCTCCTTATCTACCCATTTTACCCCCCAATCGTATTTGTGGTGGACAGGGAGCAGCGCTGATAAGGGTTTGTTAAGCCATATTAGGGTTGATGGGGTTTATATAACCCAAAACATAATTACACCGGCAAGAGACCCCAAACAGTGCGGGGGGTAGGAAGTCAATGTACCAATTACAAGCAACAGTAGCTATGGAGCAGTCACAGATGCTAACAGATGAGGCTAGAAATTATCGCAACTGCAGCAGCAGGACCTTCTATGTAGATCTATATAGAAAGCGCACAAGGTCTTTATAGAAGAACTTCCATACAAACACCAATGCGGAGGACCTGCAAGCGAGGTACCTGAAGATAGGGAAAACGCTGGGTTGCCGAAGAAGAACAACTTGAGAAACACGACTACACAACAAAATTGGAAACAAGAAGAATGAGGGATGCAACAAAAAAAATCGCAAAGATGCTGAGGAGTAAATACGGATATTTCCCTACGTTTGTAACAAATGACAACAGAGGGATGGTATCCAACAACTAGGGGTATAATCAATAAGTAGCAGGCTTCTGTGCTATCACCATTTGCTTTTCACACCAAAAAGGCATCCTGAAAACTTTCGAGTCCGGAACGTGCATGGTTTGCCAACGTACTAATATTAACTCATGTTCTTTTTCTCCATTTTGGACATCTCTTTTTTGCCCGAAAATCCATTGGGAATTTGCGTTCACATCCATAAAGGCTTCCCGGGAAAGGACCGCACAAGATGCTAGAATTCTTCCATACTTCCGGCCTATTGGTTACATCATTAATTGCCAGTGATTGAAAGAGACCTTTTTTTGTCATGCTTTTGGTGGTCAGTACCCGGTCTTTGATGCTTGTTTCTTAACTCCGAGAATCGGGGAAGACTACTAACATGATTCAAAACCTAATTTAACTCCGTAGCCATTTTGGCTCAAGCCGGCTCTGTGCGCTTGAAAGCGCATTCACAGGGTGGCCATGCCTTCTGTTGATGAGACCATCGCCACGCAGCGCGAACTTCTCACAAAGGCTCTTCAACTCCTCTCGACTGCCATGGACTTGCAAGGAGATCTCGAGCAACAGCTGTCGGAGAGACCCCAGGCAGGGTGCAAGGTTCATGGGGACAAAGCAGGTTGATGGGTCAAGACTTCGATACCCCAAACCTCCGAAAACATGTTCCTGACATTTCCTGACGGGATGGTTCATAATCAATGACCATGCATAGTTTGGGGGTCCCAAGTCCCAAGGTCTCAAATTTAGACCCATCCCACCATGCTCAATGCTCTCAGGTCTGCCCGCGGGGTCCAGAACGCTCCAAGCTACCCCCGCCAATAAAAAATGCATCATACCTTTGGCTATCTATCCGGTCACAACCAGGATAGACAATTTTCAGAATCCCTAAGGTCTTGGCTCTAAGGGTACCCCCCTTTAGCCAGTGCACTTAGCGGTTTTTTTTTGTGCGATTCCCCGCGGGCTTGCCGTGCTTTGTGCTGCGCGGTTTAGCCTTTGTGAGCACTCTTTTGTCAGCTGCCGCTGCGACACTTTGGGCTGCCGATTGACATCGCCCTCGTGTATGTGCTGGTGGCTTTGCTACTTGATCCTCCCATTGATCACTGTCTCTGAGGTTGCGCTCTCTCCTGGACACCATTGCGAAGACATCTGCTACACATCGACGAGCTCTTCGAAGGGCCCGAGCGAAAGCCAGATTCCAGTGGCATCTACATCGTGTTGGACTACGTCCTCTCGATCAGTCTGCTCTACTTCGCTTGCGTGCTATTTTCTTGGTGCACATCACAGCCGGGATTTGCGGTTCCTTGCCCGTATCCAAGGCGAAATGTCGAGCTCCAAGCCTGTCCCATGGAGATGCAGAGTTTGCAAGAAAATGGCAAAGCCATCGATGCCTCGTTGTGCCTGGTGCGGCAAGACATGGCAAGAGGTAATGGATACCTCTTACCAGCCACCGCCCCCTCAACAACAGAGACCTTCACCACATCGGCAAAATCATGGAGGAAATCAGTATTATCAAGGACAAGGTCATGGTGGATATCAGCACGGGCAAAATCGGTCCCAAACACCCCGTCGCAAATCCCGGAAAGGGAAGCGAGGCAAAGCACAGCAACAGCAGTTTCAGCCTCCCCCTCAGCAATCCGGACCACCGTCATTGTCTTCGCAGTCGCAGTATCTACCTCCTGGCAACTGGTGCCCTACGGGATCATTTGGTCCTTATCCTGCTCCTCAAGGTCCTCCTGCTTTTGTGCAACAGTGTATGGCGCCACCGCCGCCACCACCTATGCCCAAAGCCGCTTTGGTCTCACCAGACCAAGTGTGGGTGCAGCAGATGCAACAGATGCCAGTGTTGGATGGTATGCACTCAGCAGTGATGCAGCCCGGCCAGTCATCGGCGCAGCCATCACAAGCCGAGAAGCACTTGCAGAACATTTTGGGTGCGCTGCGCAAGTCAGAAGACACCTGGACGCCCGAGGTACAGATGGCGGTCCAGGAGGTCAAACTGGAAACCGAAGAAGTGTCCTTGCAACAAGTTCAGAACAGTGCGGCCGAACTCAGGCATGCGAGAAAAGCAGTGGCCGATGCAGAAGCAGCACAGCTGCGCTTGATTACCTCATGGCGCACATTTCTTCAGTACAGCGTTGCACGCTGGCAAGAGTACAATCAACTTTTCCAAGGACAGGAGACAGAGGCTCAAACCCAACTTGCTGCTGCCAAAGAACAACTGCACAATGCTCAGAAGAAGTTTGGAGAAACGTCGGAAGCCATTCGTTCTGGAGCTGGCCATCATGTCATCTCCGACGACGATGCAGAGAATGGCGAGAAGACGACTCACGACGACGAGATGAAGGACGAGGCCACGCAGAAGATTGCCATTGGTTTGACGCAGGTTGTCAGCTCATTGCAACAACTCTCCGAGCATGCCGAGGCGGAGGAGCGCAAGTCCAAGAGGCTTCGCAAGGATGTGGATGGAGACGATGGCACTGTTGTGCACAAGTCTTTGCCCTCCATGCAACCTTTTGGCAAGGCAGGTGTTCAGTGACAAATGCGTGCGTTCACCAGATGCCCTTATCAATTGAGCTTCAACCTGAACGTTTCCCATGGTTGCATTCTGTGACCCATGAGGTTGAGTTCGTTTCTCCATGGGCGGCCCTTCAACAAGCAGAAGAGTTGGCATTTGATGTTGGGTATACCAATGCCATCAGAATCGACTTATGTCAGCTGCCGAAGCCGAAGCGCTCTGCAGCCAAATTGTCCTTTGACCCCATGGTGCAGGTTCGGATCCTTGACGATTGCACATTTTTGGAGCGCACTCAGGAAGCTTTTGAAGATACTCTCCCCTGTTGGCCCTCCAAACCGTGGTCGCTTGCAGATCCTCGCACATTTGACTATGACTACTGTGTTGACATTGCTGCTTGTTCAGATCAACTTTCTTTTATGCAAGTTGCGCTGCGTCGTGAATTGCCTCCGGAAGCATGGATGCAAGTTCCTGGGCATCCCACAGAGGCCAGAGCGCATCGTGCCCTTGCACCTGTTCCTGCAGACAACCTTGGTCAACATGATCCACATGATGCCGAGATTGATGCACATGATTTCAATGATGCTTCCTCTACCTCTTCTCACACTATGCAGAGTGTTTTTCTTTACCACCTTGATGATCCGGTCATTCATGGTCGCATTGATTGGACAGACTTTGACGACATGATGCACGATGCAGCGCGGTTGCTTCAGGTTGACCGTGATCACTTGGTTGCTCTGCATGAAATTTCAGTTCCACTGGACGATGTACCAGGAGAAACAGTTCCTCTCATTGCGCAGCTTGATGATGATTTGGAAGCTGGGGAGCCTAGCAGGTTGTGCTTGGTTGACTATGAAATCCATGGACATGCTGTCGAAGCACATCATCGTACAGCTTCAGTTGTTGAGAGACAAGTTTTGATCACTCCAACACCTGCTACGATCCAAGCGATTTTTCAACGAGCTGGTATTGATGTGTATTGTGCAATTGAAGACAATCGATGTGTCATGTTTCATAACCATCGACCTGTGCTTTCTCAGCGAGCTCCCATTTTTCCAGTAGCTCACGGTGACTTCTTGCGGCTTGTGATTCCGCCTTCAATGACATGCCCTGAGCCCACACAGCTACTGCTCTTGCGACGTCAGGCTACGTTGGATGAACCGATTGACTCAGATCCAAGTGCATCACCTGGTTCTGGATATTCTCCTAGCCTTGTTCCGTCAGAAGAGATTCGACAGCAATTTGGTCAAGTGGATACAGATGATTTGCCTCTTCTACAGATTCGATCTATGCCTTGTCGTGCCGTAGTTGAGCTCCCGTCGAAGAACGGATGTCTAGCAAGTTTGCCAGCTTCATCACGATCTCCGGATGCAGCTCCTCGACCCCTTGGCTGTAGCTTCACAGACGAATTCCTGGCTGCCATCAGAGCGCGCCAACAAGCAGAAGAGCCATTACCTGATTTTGATGACCCACGTCCTGACATTGAGTTCATGCCACGTTTCATACAGAATCTCTTCGCACAGTGGACCCAATCTGCCTCCGTTGGCCCAGGAGGGATGGAAATGCTGGGCCGCGTTGAAACTTGGTACAGTGATCACTGGAGACAGCAAACCTGTTATCATCCTCGGCAGGTAGTTCTCAGTCGAGACTATCACAACTGGGAAGGACAGCTCAAAGCTGCCTGGTACGATCGTGTCTTGAACACCCTGCCGGTTGAATTTTACTTGGTTCATCCTCTACCGGAGGATGCTGCTCCCAATGTTTTCGCACAAGTTATCCTTGTCCAGCAGCCTGACCCACGTCAGCGATCGGTTATTCTTACAATCACTGACAGTCATCATGATGATGGACGCCCACACAGCAAGGCCATTGTGACTCTTGATCAAGTTCGTCGGGACAACATCTTGTTCGCTGGCCTCATGCATGATGATTGTGCGCCTGATTCCTCTGTTGCACACTGCACTACATGGTTTGGAGATTTTGAGCTTGTAGGCGATGCCCTTCTTCGTGTGCGACACGGCTTCACCTTTCAATTGCGGATTTTGCGAGGATTAGCACCAATTGTTCAAGGATTACGTCAGCTTGATGATGATCAGCTCCGCCATCGTCTTGCTGATTTGGTTGCCCCTTCCCACCTTGCTGATGATTCTGACCCTTCTGATGCACCGCTCCATCTGCCAGATTGGATTAATGCTCTTCAAGTTGCGTTTGACAATTTTGCTGCAATTGAACTTGAAGAGGAAGGACAAGTTGGGTACGTGCAAACCTGGTTCTTGAATGGACGACATTTCACGCACTGTGTTGTTCCTCGCACAGTTCGCATACGTGCTCATTTCTCAGCTTGGACGCGAATCATTTTGGACGCCTGGCAAGATTGCACTGATTCCAGGTTGATTCCATACTTGTATTTCGTTGATCCGCGGCCTCCGATGATGCCCACTCAGTCTTACATTGGCCATGTGATTGTAGTACAGGACCCGGTCCCTGACAGGGTTCCCATTCTACTCACATGTCGCCTGCCGCACCATGACCATGAGATCTTGCAGCATGCGGCCATTGCTGTTCCCGAGATCATGTCTAGCCAGCAGATCATTGATTTAGTGCAAGCGACTCGGCATTTCCATCATGGTTCGTGGCAAGTCCGTCGTGGCACCCTTCTCTTCTCCCGAGCAGGTGGTTCTCGAGTTGGGCATGGTGACAGTTTGATTGTTGAACCGACACATGGTGCACTTGCTCCAAGCCTTCATCAACCGATTGATGGTGAAACAACTTCTTTCTTGCAATATCCACGAAAGCTGACTCGTGCTACTTCTGTTTCAGAGGTGCCTCACCCTGACTCTGATGCACAGCACTGCTGGGAGCGCCTAACAACTGATGTGGTGGCTCAAGCTCAGTGGCCCCAGGAAGTACCTCCTTCTCATCGTTCAGTGCCACCTCATCGTATCTCCCTGGACGCATTGATCACGCAAGAAGTCCCTTCGATCGATGTCCCTTGCGATGAAATCCAGCAGCTGGCACAGCAGATGTTTCTTCTCGATTTGGGACCAAACCTGCCATTTGCGAGTGTTGTCAAATGGCATGACAGTACCCTCGCAGCGCGCTCTGCTTGCCCTGACTGGCATGGGTCGCCTCCATTGAGGTTTTGGTTCTACACCGATGGCGCATCATGTTATGCCTCTGATGCAGGACGTCGTTTTGCCTCTGCTGCTGTTGTTCTTCTCATAGAGACTGCAGACGGGATGCATTTTGGTGGCTTTCGACCTTTTCTTGTTCCTATCCCTGCGACGGCCCCATTTGCAGAACATGTTGCGATGCTGATTGCTCACTTGTGGTGTTTGCAAATGCATGAGTGGTGTTTGACAATGTATGGATATTGGAGCATACCAGTGACGTTTGCATTTGACTGCTTAGCCGCTGGCCATGCTGCCTTGGGAACTTGGACATGCCCGCAACATCAATCTGTTCATCGATTGACACAGTCGTTGACATATTGGATGCAGGTCCGCTATGCTTGTCAGCACTCCTACATTCATGTTCGCAGTCATCAAGGTGATGCATGGAATGAGGCAGCTGATGCTGTCTGCTGGGCAGCCCTTCATGGATGGATCTCTGCACCTGATTTCGCCGCCCTTTTTTCGCAACACCTTGAATCACATTTGTGTGCTGCTGAATGGTTGGGGTATTGTCACTATGCCAGCATCGGCGCCATTGGCTATCCTTCTATCAAGAATGCCTTCTTTGTGTACCATTTGCCCCTTGATGCTCCTGCACCTGATGCTTCTGGTCATACCCTTGTTGCACGTGATTCCGAAGCCTTGGATGCACCAGTTGAAAACACTGAGGTTTTACTGCGATGCTCCACTGCAAATGTCCTCACTCTATATACCACGCAGCATGCCAATGGTGGCTTTATGTCAGCTCGTCATGAAGCTTTGATGAATTCCTTTCACCAGCTTGGTGTTCATGTGGTGGGAGTGCAAGAGACACGTTCCAAACTTCAGGGACATCATGCAGCTGAACATTTTCACGTCTTGTCGGCCTCTGCACTGCGTTCTGGTCATTGTGGTGTTCAACTCTGGGTTGCCAAAAAGATTCAAGTGCGAGATGGCCACCTTGTTGTTTGTGCTTCACATCTCCGAGTTCTCCATCAATCTGCTCGCCGCTTGATTGCTCGTTTAGCAGTGGATGGGCTACGCATCGTTTTCATTGTAGGTCATGTGCCGTGTGCAGATGAGTCTGCGGCCCAATCTTGGTGGACTGACACTTCTGCATTGATTCCAGAATCATATCGGTCTTGGCCTTGTATCATGCTTGTTGATGCTAATGGCAAGGTTGGATCTTTGACATCGACTGCAATTGGTGACCATCATCCTTGCGATGAGAACACCCATGGGGCACTCATGCATCAATGGCTCGTTGACCATCACATGTTTGCTCCACAGACATTTGTAGATCACCACTCTGGTCCTTCGGCAACGTTTGCCCACAGCAAAGGGCCTGAAAGTCGCATTGACTATGTTCTGGTTGATGAGCGTCTTCGCTGCCCCACTCTAACCAGTAGAGTGCTTGATCTTGACCTAGCCATTCATCGTCCCGACCACTATGCAGTTTCTGTAGACGTGCCTGTGACGATTTGGAAGTGCCGGCGTGATCATATGACGCAAAGGAAGAAATCTTTGCATCAACAGGTTCCATCTCTTGTCAGCCCGCCTTCTGTTGACTGGAATCTCGATGTTCATACTCATGCTGCATTGCTTCATCGATGGCTTCACCAACATCAACCAGCACGACCACGGTTCCCTCGCAAACGCCATTTACGACTTTCAACATGGCAATTGATTCAGGAAAAGTCAGGGCATTGGAAACGGCTGCGGCAAATCACCACCACCATGCGGTCGGCGACGTTGCGCTGCCTCTTCAGTGCTTGGCGTGCCACATGTTCATCATCATGGGTTGCAATGCCTTCATGTCATGATTGGCTACGGTTATGTCATCATGGTCTTTCATGGCATCTTTTCCATCATCGTCGGCTTGGATGTCTGGTTTCTGTGCCGGTCAGAGAAGATGACGCTCAGTTTTACCAAGCTCTTGCAGAGCGGCATTCTGATGAATCTCTTCCCACATTATGGAAGTCGTTGAAGCCGCTACTCCCTCGACAGGCGGCCAAGCGGCGCAACAACATCCGCTGCGTTGGCCCAGCTACATGTGACATTGTTTCTCACTTTGATGCGCTTGAAGCTGGTGAAGTTGTTTCATATCCTCAGCTGCTCAGCGACTGCCACCAGCGTCAGCAATCTTGCCTTCATGATGCACCTGTGGTTGTACCACTCCATGCTTTGCCTTCGAATGTTGACATTGCCCAATTGTGCCGGCGCACCAAACAAGGCAAAGCACCAGGCCTGGATGAGGTTACAGCTACCACATTGCAGCATTGTCTGTTGTCCTTTGCAGCCTCTGCTCACTTGTTGTTTTTGAAGGCGTTTTTGCTAGGAGCTGAACCCCTGCAATTGCAATGGAAAGGCGGCAAAGTCCATGTCATACCCAAAAAGACCAATTTGCTTCGTGCTGATGCCATGCGCGGCATCATGTTCTTGACTGGACTTGGCAAAATGTATGATTGATTGGGCCTCTCAGCTGAAGCTTCCAGCTCAGTTGGGCGGATTTCAGAAGCAGCAAACGTGCTTTGCCACCCATCTCTTGCGTACGTTTTGTGTTTTGGCTGAAGCCGCACATCTCTCATGTGGAGTCATCTTTTTTGATGTTCGTGCCGCATTTCACAGTATGTTGAGGGAGCACACATTTGGAGGCTCATGCCTTCCTCGTCGATTGTGTGCAGTTCTGGAAGATGCTGGGCTTGATGTTGCTCAGTTGCAGCGCGACATTGTGCCTCATGGAGCTCAATTTCAAAAGCATCCGAATCAGTGCCTTCAACGAGCAGTACAAGATGCGCACAACTCTACATGGTATGTTGTTGATGGTCATGCAGATTGCCACCAGACGCACCGTGGCTCAAGACCAGGCAGCCCTCTGGCTGATATTGCTTACAATATCACTATGACAGGTGTGCTGCGCGACATTGAAGAAGCGTTGTGGAACAATACTGCGCTTTGTACTGCTGCGGCTCAGCTGCCAATTTTTCCACCCCTGACCACTTGGGTAGATGATTTGGCGATTCCTGTGCCTTCAATCTCTGCTAGTGCATTGGATTCTCAAGTGTTATTTGTGCTGAAGACGGTTGATGACACCATGCGATCCTATGGATTGGAGCTCAACATGCAACCAGGCAAGACCGAGCTTGTTTGCCAATATCGAGGAGTTGGTTCTACTACTTGTCGTCATCGACGCTTTGTAGAACATGCAGGACAACTACCTTTGCCATGTGGCCGCTCACTGCGTGTTGTTGCACAATACCAGCACTTGGGCACCGCTTTTCATCAGAGTTTGTCGATGCGCAATGAGCTTCATGGACGCCTTGGTAAAGCATCTGCAGCTTACAGGCAACTGTCTAGGCTTGTTTTTGGGAACCGCAGGCTGAAACCTACAGTCCGCTTGCAACTGCTTGAATCGTTGGTGCTTTCCATTCTTTTCCACGGAGCTGGGACTTGGCCGCTCTTGAATTCTCGCCTCTATGCCAAATTGTCACATGCCATTATTGGTTGGCAACGCCGCATTGTGAACGAGGGCTTTTGGAGTTCTACGCGATTACCTGACGGTGAGTTTCAAGCCAAGTGGCATCTGATGCCTTTGTCTACACGATTGGCGAAGCATCGGTTGCTCTATGGTTTTCAGATGATAGCCCATGCTCCCCAAGACTTGATTACCTGTGTTTCTGCAGAAGATGATCTTGGTCACACATCTTCGTGGTGTTCAGCTTTTCGACATGCCTTGTTGTGGCTTCATTTGCATGATCCAGCCAGTGTTAACCTTGATGAAACCTCCAGTGGGCCGGGCCTCTTTCAATGGCTCCATCAACACAAGGACACCGGCCCCAACTTGGTTAGGCGTCTGGTTCGTCGTGCTGCGTATCAAGACCTCCTAGCCTTCGAGATGAAATCCAAGATTGTGGATCTCTACAGCATTTGCAGCTCCAATGGAGTCCAATTTGATGACCTTCCAGCAGAGCCGATCCAAGGCAATCGTGATGTATATCAATGCCATGTGTGCACGTCCTGCTTTTCTACGCTACAAGGATTGCAAGCGCACCAATGGCGCAAACATCAACTGTTTTCTGAGGAAAGGCGCTATGTCTATGACTCGACACGCAGAGCGTGCAATCGCTGTTTTTGGACCACTCAAAGGCTGCAGCAGCATCTGCGATGGAGTCGACGACATGTTCATGGATGTTTCAATGTGCTGCAGCGCTACTTTACCCCTTTGTCCTTGCCAGCATCTTGCCCGCTCCCGGACTTCGCTGTTGGTCTCCATCGCCTTCCTGTATCTACAGTGTCTGGTCCACTTCCAGATGTGATGCCGACTGTTTGGGAACGTCAGCAGAAAGATTTGCGGCAATCCTTGCAAGACCAATGGCAGAGATGTGGTTTTCCTGATGCCTTAATGCCTACCGTGACATCTTTGGTTTCTCAGACGCTTTTGAAGGTGACCAATACATGGATGCAAACCGCTGATCCAGAGCAAGTTTGTGTTGATGATGTACTTTTTCAATGGATGTCACCCCTTTCAGAGCTGCCGGATCTGCATGCTGTGGATGAGCATCAAGTGACGTGGGCTCTGTTAGAATGGGGGCAACGATGTCTTCCTGACCTCATTGACACGATTGAAGACCCAGACTTTCAGATATGTCTTGACAGTGCTTTCCATGAGATAACCAAGATGTTTGACATGTGGGATCTGCTGATGCAGTTTGACAAGCTCGATCGTGCCGTTGAACCTGATGCGTCAGTTCTGCTACACGAACCAACTCCTGATCGTCGGCGATTTCATGACCATGAACCTCATTCCCGGCTTTATCATGATCCTGAGGAATTTCTGCGACGTGTTATGCCGCCTGTCCTTGATTGGCCTCGCCAACCTGGTGTCCCTTTGGTGCATGGGTTTCATAAGAAACCCACGCTGTTTGTCTTGCACATGTTCTCTGGTAGGCGCCGTGCAGCGGACTGTCACGACTGGATTGAGCGATTGGCTGCAGAATACTTTCCTCATTTGCATGTGGTAGCCGTCTCTATGGACACAGCGGTGCATGGTCAACTTGGAGATCTTCTCTCCGGTTCCAACTTTGACCATTTGGTTGCATTGGCTGATGGCCGCTTCTTTGGTCTGAATTTAACTGGGCCTCCATGCGAAACATGGACAGCAGCACGCCATATTGTGTGTCATGAACTTCTTCGGCGTGGACCCCGACCTCTACGTTCGTGTGCCCGACCGTGGGGGTTGCTGGCGCTCTCGTTAAGGGAATTGCGCCAACTGGGCACAGGTTCTCATTTGATGCTCAACAGCCTTGCGATTGAGCTCCGCGTGTGCCTGGGGGGCGGTGGAAGCGTCATGGAGCATCCTTCCATCCCAGACAACGAGGAGCTTGCCTCTATTTGGAGGACGCCGCAGCACAGACACCTGGTCATGCGAGCCCCTGAAGCCCAATTGGTCTACATCGAGCAGTGGCGTTACGGGGCCGAAAGTGTGAAGCCAACGATCCTGAGAGGCCTAGGACTGCCGCGTTTGGCACGACATTTGCACTCTTGTCGGTGCCCTGGTATGGTGAGACCCACCAAAGTTTTAGCAGGCTTTGACCATGCCAAGCAGCGTTTTAGGACTGCAGCTGCAAAGGAATACCCAGCAGGGCTCAGTGAAGGCATTGTTCGCTCTGCCTTCCTGTCCCTGCAGATGCGACTAAGGAGCAATGCACCTCAAACTGTACAGTGGCAAGACTTCTCCAGCAGCGACCGTAAGTGGGTCCAGTCGCTGATTGAGCAGGGGTCTTCATTTTCCACCAGCACGTTTCTCCCTGATTTCGACTTCTGTGTAGTGTACAACTGAGGCTCAGGTCGGGTGGAACAGCCCTTTGTTTAGGGTTGCCGGTTTCTCTGCATGTCCGCACAGTTCTGAACTTCAAGCGGCTGAATGAAAAAAATGTTCATTGGTGAAAACCATCAACCCCGGTGTCACCTGCACGCCAGAACCAGTCATCAACCAGTTGCAGTCCCTGTCCCCCTGGATCCATTGCTGCCGACATTGCTGCCAGCGATGCGTGGCGCAATAGAGGTGGTGGGGATTTGACATAATTTGACCATCAAACATGGGTACTTCCGGTACTTCCTTCATTTGGGGTCCGTCTTGAGGGTCATGATTCATGATATATCATGATATATCCCACATTTTTGTGTTTTTTTTCATTGACATGATTTTCTTAGCCATCGTTTTTGTTCGCAAAAATCCTTGGACGAAACCCTGGCCCATGTTCGGGCTGCGAAAAAAAAACCTGGGCGGAGCCTTTTCCAAATTTGGTTGCTGATTGGTTGGCGATGTTGCTGAGTTTATATGCAGATCCGATCAGCAACATTTTTTCATGTGGTTATGGTTAAAAAAAATACCCTCTGGTTACTTAACATAGCCATGGTATAGATGGCCCATAGAAATAGATGGTTTACCTATTAATAGCATGGTGATTTTCCATGGCTATGTTAGTCATAACCAGATGGTAATAAACCACCCAATTGTTGATGGTTTATACCACCCATAAAAATGGTGATGACTGGGGGATGGTTTAGGATTGTTTTAACCACATTAAACAATCAAAGTCATGTGAGATCTCTCGGACGTAGTGGTCTGACCTGGGTTTCTGGGTAGACTGCAAAGTGGATTTTTGGTCAAAAATTGATTGAGGTATAGTAGTATACCCTTTGCTAACCAAGCATGGCTCAGAAATCCCCCGCAAAATGTAGATTTTGAGGGGAGATTTATCGGACTAAATGGTTGATTTTCCAGCCATGTTTGAGTGAGGCTAATATCATCCCTTAAAAAAAAAGGTATCAAAGATTTGGCATCAGGGAACATGTTTTCCTCATTTTGGGTACGATGACCTTAGGGATGTTTCCATAGACCGGGGTAGTTGTTTGGATATCAATCCTTTCATTTTTCTGGAAGATTATATAATCTGGGTAAATTATAACGACCTCACTGTTCTCCCTCACTGGAATCATGGCTTATTTCAGGGAAATCATCCCCAAATGGCTGAACTATTCAGGTTAGTGAAATATTATAATTTACCCAGATATAATATAGATGAATCTTATGTGGGAGTTCAAAGCCGGAAAGCATCGATTTCATTTTACAGGGGATTCATGACAAATCATACACAAATATTGGTAGTTGTTTTTTGCAACAACCATGGTGTTGTAAGTCTGAGTTGATTGTAACATATAGAGTATAGTAAGATTTTACTGTGATATTAGTCATATTAGTCACTGTATTACTGTAGAAATAAAGTAAGATGATGATTTCATATTCATATTTTCATAAGGTTTCATAAGGTTTCAGTACTGACTTATTTTAACCCATTTTTCCTGTGACCAAAATAGATATGAAAAATCCATGCTTTCCCTGGTCACAAAAATCCATGGTGATTTGCTGGCCAGCTCCAGTTCCCAGCTTAGTTCGATGATTTTCCCAACCACATCAAGCTCCATTTAGATGAGTGATTTCCCAGCTTGCCATGTGAACTGATTACCAGGTTTGGCATGTCCTTTTCGTTTTATGTTCGGTTTTCCAAAAAAGATGGTGCCCTCATTGTTACCAGGAAGCGTTCGAGGGAATTGGTTCCTGGATTTGGCAGACTATTATTACTTTTTTTTTTCCTGGGGGGGGGTGGCAGACTATTATTACTTTTTTTTTTCTCTGGGGTGGGGGGGGGCCTTATGATTATTATTATTATTATTATTATTCCTTTCTTGGCTTTTTCGTGCATTGAACCCTCTGGTAATTTAACATAGCTATTGAAAATTGCCATTTATAGTGAGTTTTCCCATTAAAAATGGTGATTTTCCATAGTTATGTTAGTTTACCAGAGGGTATGGTAAATGGAGCTAGTCATGGTATGATGTGATTATTTCACTGGCAACCCCAGTTTGTTGTCTGTTGTGAGACACCCCAAGCGGTAGATTTCTAGTATGATCTATGATTTGGTTGACCACATTACCATATTGTTGGACAAAACCTCCCCAATCATGCTGGTAAATCATTCATTGTTGTGATATACCATCGATTCCCACACCGATGTTTTCAACATCATTGTGCTTATGATTACAGGAAACGTGAGACCAAATCCTGCACTTGTAGATTGTTTGCCTATCTTTTTCAATTTTGTTTGCCAACTACTAACCACTCAGGACTGCTTATTTTCTATTCGTGGTTTACAGGTTCCAGCCTATATGACCTATATTTTTGTCAGTTCCAAATAGGTCCAGCCCTTGGGTAATTTACTGTCCCATTCTTGTTCCCATGATGGCTGGGTTGTAGGATGTTTTTATTGGGAGTCCCAGGGATTTGAGTCGGTTCTGCAAACCACTTGACACGGCTCATCCAAAGCGGCTCGTGTCAGTAGCTTATCCCAACTTGGTTTTGTTATTGGGATCAGTAGGGTTTTCATCCACTAACTGGGGTGAACAAAACTACGTACAATGAAAATCACTTCGTTTTTTCGGAAACACTAAAGATATGGTGGACTAAAATGCTGGACCAACTAAGCCATGGTCGTGACTTCCATTGCTTTTTTTCTTCGTTTTCTCTTCCAGCTGCTGCTGGAATTTGGACAGGAATGTCGCTTATGTAGTCCTGGCTTTGTGGCGAATCGTTCTGGCTTGGATAGCTGTGAAAGGCCGCGCATGGATGAAAAAAAGGGAAGGTGGTCATCAAACGACCGGAATCTCAACACATGGGGATGCGTTTTTTTTTTTGTTGGATCTTTCACGAGAATGGTTTTTTTTGTTGGCTTAATGGGATTCATTGTTTTTTTGGGGAAATCTGCAGGAAACATCAGGTTTAATTCTTTCGAATGTGGAGGTCTGAGCCAGTGATGGGACGATAGGACTTAACTCAGAAAAATTGGGATGAAACCATGGCTGCAGTCTGCCTCCGATTTTCTGGGTTCTCCTCCTGGTTTGATTTTAACCATGGCTTGTTCCCATGGTTTTATTGATCTAGTATTAACATGTATTAACTTTAAAGCCGCTGGTGATGTTGAGATTATGTTGAGATGCCGATGCTAATGATAGAATCGTTTCCAGACTCAAAAAAGCGTTTTCACGAGCCACGAGGTTCCGGGTCTCCGGGGAGTTTTCCAGCTCTCCCTTGAACGACAGGTGTCCAGTGGGGAAGTACATGAACCTCCGAGGAGGAGAGCAATGCTTCGACTGCGGCCAGAACCAAATCACTGAATCCACTGGTGCGCAATCGGAATCTGAGTGCAGATGTGAAGTTGGTCGCTTGGTGGAGGATCAATGATTCAATGGTCCTTTGTTTGGCGCATGAAGTCGAGAAAATCCATATGGAAACAATGGAGGTGTCCGTAAAACGTCATGGGGGTAGCCCCAGTCATCCATAGAAGATTCTCGGATTCCATGTAAACCATCCAGCGTGCTATTGGGATTATTGGGGTACTCCCATGACGAACCCCCATGGAAGAAACGGATGAATCAAAACGGATGAATCAAAACGGAAATCAGATGGATGAGATCAGGGAGAAAGGAAGGCCAAAACCACTCAGTGAGGGCCCTGGTTGATTCTTTATAGGGGAGAAGCTTACCTATCTGGTTTAGTTGCAATGATTTGGAATGATGAAATCATCCATATCCACAATAACAGTAACTATCCCACAATTTTTCACAAAATCTATGCTACAATTCTTCACCTGGATTTTGGCTAACAACATGAGGCTTCCAAAACGCCTCCAGGTTCCTTCATGTGTGTGGCAATGGGCTGCATCCCCTGCCCTGCTGGTTTGAGATGCAGCGGCCAAGGACTGAGTTTTGTTGACGAAGCACCAATGCTCAATGGGAGATCTTCAGGATCCTAAAATGGAGCTACGTTAGTACCATATAAGGCCATATTTTGTGGGGATATTCCCTTACATAGGCCTTACATAGGTACCTCCAACTTGGGATCCTGAAATGGCCATTGAAATGCTGTGCAGCCTCAAAATGGGGGGTTTCCTAAGCCATGGGGGTACACCAAAAATGGATGGTTTATTCTTTTATTAGGGAAAATCCATCTATAAATGGATGATGACTGGGGGTACCCCCCCTTTTCGAAACGGAAAGCTCCAGATGATATACCCTCCGGTAAACATACAAAAAACTATGGAAAATCACCATTTTCAATGGGTAAATCCACTATAAATGACCATTTTCAATAGCTTTTTGTATGTTTACCAGAGGGTAAACCATCATCATTTTGGTGCATCCTATCAGACACATCCAAACATCCTTCAGTTGCAACAGTTGGACCTGTGGTTGATCTGGTCGATCTCTGACCGTGGCGGTGACTGGCTTTGCTGGACTGGATGGTGACTGGCCACGGGCCACCTTACGGGTCCAAGAATTTCTAAGAGATTCTACCAACTGATTTAAGTTGTTTGCAGACTGGTTCTGAAGGTATTGTCGTCACTAACTAGTATACTGTCATGTTATTGTACACGTGTGCTGGGAGACCATGGTTGCAATTATATCATTCCGTTTATGATAAAATTGCTTCAATGAGCAAATGATATGATTGGTCATGTACAGCAAATTATAGTGTAATTATATATTTGTTCATTAATATATACATCAATTACCATCTGGTTATTTAACATAGCCATGGAAAATCACCATGCTATTAATAGGTAAACCATGGTAAACCATCTATTTCTATGGGCCATCTATTCCATGGCTATGTTAAATTACCAGAGGGTATATGATTGGTCATGTACGTTTTTTTCCCGAGAGCGTCTGAGCGCAGGGTTCTTCCAATAGTGGGGGTCTGTAAAACATCTTCTCATCTTCACATCTTCTCTCACATCTGCTCATCTTCACATCTTCTCTCACATCTTGTCTCACATCTGCTCATCTTCACATCTTCTCTCACATCTGCTCATCTTCACATCTTCTCTCACATCTTCTCTCACATCTGCTCATCTTCACATCTGCTCATCTTCACATCTTCTCTCACATCTTCTCTCACATCTGCTCACCTTCACATCTGCTGTTCTTCACATCTTCTCTCACATCTGCTCATCTTCACATCTTCTCTCACATCTTCTCTCACATCTGCTCATCTTCACATCTGCTCATCTTCACATCTTCTCTCACATCTTCTCTCACATCTCCTCTCACATCTTCTCTCGCATCTGCTCATCTTCACATCTGCTCATCTTCACATCTTCTCTCACATCTTCTCTCACATCTGCTCATCTTCACATCTGCTCATCTTCACATCTTCTCTCACACCTGCTCATCTTCACATCTTCTCTCACATCTTCTCTCACATCTGCTCATCTTCACATCTGCTCATGTCCACATCTTCTCTCACATCTGCTCATCTTCACATCTGCTCATCTTCACATCTGCTCATCTTCACATCTGCTCATCTTCACATCTGCTCATCTTCACATCTTCACATCTTCTCTCTCTCCTTTCTCTCTCCTTTTTCTCTCTCTCGCCTTCTTTATCTTTCTCTCTTTAGGCCGAGGGTGGTACCGGCGGCGAGTCACGAAACGGCAACCCTTTCACACGAAATGAGGGTCGATCGGCAAAAACTGAGGTAAAATTGCAATTTGACTTGTGCCGGAGCAACCCTTTCGCACAAAATGAGGGTCGATCGGCAAAAACTGAGGTAAAATTGCGATTTGACTTGCCCCGGAGCAACCCTTTCGCACGAAATGAGGGTCGATGGGCAAAAACTGAGGTAAAATTGCGATTTGACTTGCCCCGGAGCAACCCTTTCGCACGAAATGAGGGTCGATCGGCAAAAACTGAGGGAAAATTGCGATTTTACTTGTCCTGGAGCAACCCTTTCGCACGAAATGAGGGTCGATCGTCAAAAACTGAAGAAAAATTGCGATTTTACTTGTGCTAAAGCAACCCTTTCGCACGAAATGAGGGTCGATCGTCAAAAACTGAGGTAAAATTGCGATTTTACTTGTCCCCGAGCAACCCTTTCGCACGAAATGAGGGTCGATCGGCTAAAACTGAGGTAAAATTGCGATTTTACTTGCCCCGGAGCAACCCTTTCGCACGAAATGAGGGTCGATCGTCAAAAACTGAGGAAAAATTGCGATTTTACTTGTGCCGGAGCAACCCTTTTGCACGAAATGAGGGTCGATCGGCAAAAACTGTGGAAAAATTGCGATTTTACTTGTGCCGGACTTGTCTGTGTGTAAAAGCGTCTGTGTGTAAGAGTCTCTGTGTGTAAAAGTGTTTGTGTGTAAAAGTGTTTGTGTAAAAGTGTTAGTGTGTAAAAGCTTCTGTGTGTAAAAGCTTCTGTGTGTAAAAGCGTCTGTGTGTAAAAGTGTTTGTGTGTAAAATGTGTGTAAAAGCGTCTGTGTGTAAAAGCGTCTGTGTGTAAAAGTGTTTGTGTGTAAAAGTGTTTGCGTGTAAAAGCCTCTGTGTGTAAAAGCGTCTGTGTGTAAAAGCGTCTGTGTGTAAAAGCGTCTGTGTGTAAAGTAAAAGCGTCTGTGTGTAAAAGACTGTGTGCACAAGCGTCTGTGTGCAAAAGCGTCTGTGTGTCAAAGCGTCTGTGTGTAAAAGCGTCTGTGTGTAAAAGCGTCTGTGTGCAAAAGTGTTTGTGTGTAAAAGCGTTTGTGTGTAAAAGCCTCTGTGTGTAAAAGCGTCTGTGTGTAAAAGCGTCTGTGTGTAAAAGCGTCTGTGTGTAAAAGCCTCTGTGTGTAAAAGTGTTTGTGTGTCAAAGCGTCTGTGTGTAAAAGCGTCTGTGTGTAAAAGCGTCTGTGTGTAAAAGTGTTTGTGTGTAAAAGTGTTTGTGTGTAAAAGCCTCTGTGTGTAAAAGCCTCTGTGTGTAAAAGCGTCTGTGTGTAAAAGTGTCTGTGTGTAAAAGCGTCTGTGTGTAAAAGTATTTGTGCGTAAAAGTATTTGTGCGTAAAAGTGTCTGCGTGTAAAAGCCTCTGTGTGTAAAAGCGTCTGTGTGTAAAAGCGTCTGTGTGTCAAAGCGTCTGTGTGTAAAAGCGTCTGTGTGCAAAAGTGTTTGTGTGCAAAAGTGTTTGTGTATAAAAGTGTTTGTGTGTAAAAGCCTCTGTGTGTAAAAGCGTCTGTGTGTAAAAGCGTCTGTGTGTAAAAGCGTCTGTGTGTAAAAGCGTCCGTGTGTAAAGTAAAAAAAAGCGTCTGTGTGTAAAAGCGTCTGTGGGTAAAAGTGTTTGTGTGTAAAAGCCTCTGTGTGTAAAAGCGTCTGTACGTAAAAGCGTCTGTACGTAAAAGCGTCTGTGTGTAAAAGTGTTTGCGTGTAAAAGTGTTTGCGTGTAAAAGCGTTTGCGTGTAAAAGCCTCTGTGTGCAAAAACGTATGTGTGTAAAAATTTCTGTCTGTAAAAGCATCTGTGTGTGTAAAAGCTTTGTGTGTAAAAGTGTCTGTGTAAACGCGTCTGTGTGTAAAAGCTTCTGTGTGTAAAAGCTTTTGTGTGTACAAGCGTCTGTGCGTAAAAGGGTCTGTGTGTGAAAATGTCTGTCTGTAAAAGCTTCTGTGTGTGAAAGCTTTTGTGTGTACAAGCATCTGTGCGTAAAAGGGTCTGTGCGTGTTTGCGATGCAAACTATTGTGTTGCACTTCTGCTATTCTGAGGAAAAATTGCGATTTTACTTGTGCCGGAGCAACCCTTTTGCACGAAATGAGGGTCGATCGGCAAAAATTGTGGAAAAATTGCGATTTTACTTGTGCTGGACTTGTCTGTGTGTAAAAGCGTCTGTGTGTAAGAGTTTCTGTGTGTAAAAGTGTTTGTGTGTAAAAGTGTTAGTGTGTAAAAGTGTTAGTGTGTAAAAGCTTCTGTGTGTAAAAGCTTCTGTATGTAAAAGCGTCTGTGTGTAAAAGACTGTGTGCACAAGCGTCTGTGTGTAAAAGCGTCTGTGTGTCAAAGCGTCTGTGTGTAAAAGCGTCTGTGTGTAAAAGCGTCTGTGTGTAAAAGTGTTTGTGTGTAAAAGTGTTTGTGTGTAAAAGCCTCCGTGTGTAAAAGCGTTTGTGTGTAAAAGCGTCTGTGTGTAAAGTAAAAGCGTCTGTGTGTAAAAGCGTCTGTGTGTAAAGTAAAAGCGTCTGTGTGTAAAAGCGTCTGTGTGTAAAAGTGTCTGTGTGTAAAAGCATCTGTGTAAAAACGTATGTGTGTAAAAACTTCTGTCTGTAAAAGCGTCTGTGTGTGTAAAAGCTTTGTGTGTAAAAGTGTCTGTGTAAAAGCGTCTTTGTGTAAAAGCTTCTGTGTGCAAAAGCTTTTGTGTGTACAAGCGTCTGTGCGTAAAAGGGTCTGTGTGTGAAAGTGTCTGTCTGTAAAAGCTTCTGTGTGTGAAAGCTTTTGTGTGTACAAGCGTCTGTGCGTAAAAGGGTCTGTGCGTGTTTGCGATGCAAACTATTGTGTTGCACTTCTGCTATTTTGTCTTAATACTCCTCTTCTCGACTGCCTATAACACATCTTTAATATATTGTTTCTAATATGGTGTCTCCATACTAACAAGAGAAGACCTGCTCCTCTACGCTCTCGGGCCATCCGTCGTCTAGTTCTGTATCTTTTTAGTTCCTGCCCACACTAACACTATCGACCTGGTCAGATTTGCTGAGCAAATCTGACCAGGTTACATCCAAATGATCCTTAGCTGAAATAGAGAACTTGTGAGGATTTAGACCAAAGATATATACAGTTATGGCCATTTACCAGTTATAACTGGTTATAAATGGGATTATACATTCTTTAAATGGGGTTATAAGTACTTATAACTGAAAAATGGCCATAACTGTAGGGATATAGGGAAAATTCAGTGGGCCTATTACTTTGCAAAAAACATGGAAAACCACTGAATCCACAACAATTTCTCCACTCATCCTTTTTGTTTTTTTGCAATATATTGGCGGTATATCCGACTTTCCGGCACACGAAATCATGAGGTTATGATTTCTATGCCATTTGTATCGAAACTTGGCGGTTGTGTCCGCCCACTGAAAAACTTGGCTTATGTCGGCTTCGCCTTTTGACAGATCTACCATAAACATCCATAAACCCAACAATTAACCTATACTGTCATAAACTAACTTAGCTAACTAGGTCATCCAGAAATATCCATAAACCGAATTATAAACTAACTTAGCTAACTGAACTGAGGCAAACGAGAGCACTCAGTTGACTCAGTTGTCACCTCCGAAGGAGAACCAGAGCAGAGTGAGGGATACTGGACCCCAACCGTGGATGAGCCGCAATGTGAATCTCGCTCGCAACACCAGCCGAAATGTTTCCGTGCTCCCCGGGGGCCCCGGGGACAGGGTTACAATGGTGATTGCAGATGGGATGTAGTGGGATATTATGGAGATAGACTGGAATGTACAACCTACTTGGGGCTGCACTTAGTGGTTCTTCATAGATATAGCCATGTTTTTTTGACCATAAGTTGGGATATGGGGCCCTATCACTATGGCAGTTCAATGAATCCAATTCTAAGACGGGTAACAAATGCAGACGTTTTGTAGAAGTCATTGGATTGGAAGGGAAAATCGACACCGGAAACCATGGCTTTTACCATGAAATATGGCGGTTTCCTGTAATTTTTCCCGTAAACCAATCCAATGAAGAAGTGAACGCACGCGGACCCATTGCAATGAGAAGTCACGTGTGCAGTCCTTGGGTTCGATGATCCAAACAGCCGTGACATTTCAGAGGAAACAATCTACCGCAGAGATCTATAATTGGGGGTTTCCATAAATGGGAGTACCCCAAAAATGGATGGTTTTTGCCTAAGGGAAAATCCCATCTATAAATGGATGATTTGGGGCTACCCCGCTTTATGGAAACCCTCAATTGTTGGTACAAATCATGGTTTCTAGATGTTTCTAGTAGGTATTCCCTTGATCCATGCGATTCTGGGATTTCTCCAGGACTTCCCAGTTCTGCGATGCCGCAACAAGCGCGAATGCCCGGGCGGGGCCAAGGGACGATGTGCGATGGGACGCGAAGGTTTGGCGTGTAACAACTGCATGGCAAACCACTATCCCTACGATGGAAATTGTGTTCCCTGCGGCGAACGGGACCAGTTGGGAACCAGTTGGGACCGGCGGGAGTTGCTCTGGGGATCATCTTTTTCGTGGCGATGCAAAGTGGCTTGGGAAAATCATCAAAAGACAAAAATCGGGGAGGGCTCAGATATCTTACCCTCCAAAGTATGCTTTCTATGAAACAAGAAACAATCCAAAGTGGTACCTCCAATGACCCCAATGACAGGTACCTCCAACAACCCCAATGGCTTAACTTATTTGCCATTGATATCCATTAACTATGTCGTACTCATTTATTGTTGTTAGTTATGCGACCCCCTGCAATGGGGTTGTGGAACATCTCCATTTTTGATGGGTCATTCATTTGTAGTGATGCGCCAACTGGCCATGTTTGACTACTCGGCATACACACATCAAGCTACACAATTCAGCGGATATTTTACGAATGAAACTGGTCTCGAACCCATTTCACCTCGGGTACTTCGACTTTCACTTGTTTCACTTGCGTCAAGGCCAAAATTAGCGAATCCTGCTTGATGAATCAGCGGTGTTGCTAACAAGAGTGACAAATCACCTCACATTGCTCTTGCGGCCCCAACATGATCCCAGCCTTGAGAGTTTACATGTTGGATCCACAATGTCATTTTTTCATCGTCACCATCCCCTTTTTCGTCGCGCTGACATTGGAGATATCATAAATAGCATCAATCATTGGATTGGTTTAGGGGAAAATCGCCACCGGAAACCATGGTTTTTACCATGAAATATGGGGGTTTCCGGTTAAATTTTTCCGTTGAACCAATCCAAACAGAATCAAACGGAAACCGCTCGGCATTGCGGATGCCACAAGGATGTGCCCAGTCACGGTGGTTTCTGAAAACAAACCAGCATTTTGGATATATTTATATACCATAAACATCATAAACCCACCAGCGAAGCTAATTAGTTCAAGCAATTTTGCGAACTTAAATTAGATATATTGCTATATATTACTATAAATCATCACTTTTGTTCAATTCCCTGCCGGTTTCCAACGACATTTGGTTTCTTACCCCTCTCCAGGTGTAGTGATTTCGCCACGTTCAGCCGAGATTTCTGCACCGCGTCAGGACGTTCTACCCACGCTGCTCTTCTTCGCAGGGGCTGCAGCTTTGATGGCGGTGTCCAGCTGGTCCAAGGTGGAGAGTGGCTCGCCAATAAAAATTCAGCAGTGAATGGGTTAAACCTGTTGGGGTCTTATGACAGGGTTGCTCGCAGCACTTATGAATAATGATAATAATGTCCCTTCAATGGTGGGACATGTCTGATTTTATGATTTTAGCGAATCTTACTTCTGTATTTATCCAATTTACCACATTTGTATTGCAACTGGGCTGCTGGGAGCAACCATGTATGAGGTTTTAAGTAGCAGAGTATAAATATGGAGATGTAATTGATAAATGATGGTTGATTGGTATTGGTTCTGAGGCAAGGAGTTCTTAAGCTACCTGGTTATTGAGGATTTTGAACTAACCCATATGAACGGGAACGCCATCAATCAACTAGTATAATAAGATGGGATAGGGACTTTTTTAATGACTCAGTTTAATAAAAGTGGTATAGTAATTGAATATCTACTTGCGGTGTTCAAAATTCTTGTTGGTTGATGATTAATGTCAACTCCGGATTAATAAACAACCCCTAGATTGTTTAATTGGGAGGGTACCATTTAAGTATCATATTGTGACTATTGGAGGGGTACCCCCCCTAATTAATAAACCATGGTTTATTTATCCGGGGTTGACATTACAGGGGATTCCCTAACTAACCAAATATATTGGGGGACATCACAATCCATGAACGGGGAATCCCGTTCTCAACCGTCCAGAAAAATTGCGCTACGACGAACATAGCTCACCTGCGAGCCTGGGGATGTATATATATATATATATATATATCAAAAACAGATATTATGTCATGCTCTTTGTCAGTTATATAGCTGTATATCTGTGATATATCTGTTACATCTCAGTTATATATATATATATACACATGTTATATTTACTACTGGAATCTAATTACATAACAGCTATAACTGATGTATAATCCCATCAGTAGCTGTTATGATTATAGTAGCAGCTATGACAGCAGGTATCCCATTGGGTTATCTTACACTTATTCCCACTAGATCTCAGTATATCAACAACCCAGTTATAGTGATACTTTTTTTACCCAACTTTCGCGAGACTTTACATCGACTGAAACATCATATCAAATTTCTATTGTAATAAGAAAGTTACGCTACTGGTATCTATTTCAAAGGGGTTATTAACCTGGCTTAATTAACAGTTGGACCCTGAAAATCACCATGTGTTAATGGAAACTCGTCTTCCAACCCCGACAACTGCCAGGGTCAAACTGTTAATTTACTGGAGGGTAACCTGGCTTCAAGGGGATCATGAACCCATGATAGGATGCTATCCAAGCAGTTTACATCCTGCAATGCATGATTTTAACGAGATTTATGGAGGTTTAATCCTCAAAGATATTGGGATATCAGATGGATATCATTGATAAATGATGATAAATGATTGTTGATGACTAGTTTGGGGGTTACCCCACTCTTTTGCCAAAATCATGATCGCTGAGAATCCCCAGCAACATGATCGGGTGGCAGATCGATCATGCGGATGGGTGTTACAGTGTGAACGATTTGGTTAATAGTGGTTTATAGTGGTTACTAGTGGCTAATAGTGGTTTATAGTGGTTTATAGTGGTTAATAGTGGCTAATAGTGGTTTATAGTGGTTTATAGTGGTTAATAGTGGCTAATAGTGGTTAATAGTGGTTTATAGTGGTTACTAGTGGTTAATAGAGAATGTTGATGTTCATCCTGGTGAATATATTCTGGGTAAATTTCATCACGACCGAACCCTGTTCTCCCGAACCCTGGAATCATGGCTTAATTATAAGGGAAATCATCCCCAAATGGCTGAACTATTCAGGTTATAGTAAAATATTATAATTTACCCAGATTATTGATCCCCCCAAAAAAGTTTGATGGTTTAGCACAGTACTAGCCGTTCCAGTACCGGTACCTGATATCTCTTGAACTATTTTGGAATGCTTTCAGCTCATCAAAAAAGACGATTTCCTGATTCTGACCTACAGATTTCGTTGTCCATGTAGATTGTCATCCGACTGAGCTTTTACTGGCATATCAAAAACATTAAAATAGTCGAGAGTCCTTGTGGCACTGGAAAATCTCTGGTTTTTCGCAGGCAAGAGTTCACTGCCACAGGTAGACATCTAGTCACATCTAATAATGCCAATTTAGGGTATCAAAAAAGCCCATGGCTGACAAAAAACACCGAGCCAGGCAGAGTTCTGACAGTTTCCGATGAATGTCCTGTTGGATTTCCGGCAATTCTTGTGCATCCAGTTGAAGGTACTTTCCTTCTACAAAAATAGCCTCTGGTAATGACTAACATAGCTCTGGAACATCACCATTCTTAATAGGCATCCTCTGGTAAACTGTTGCATAACTATGGAAAATCACAATTTTTAATGCGTAAATCAACGAACTAAATGGCAATTTTCAATAGCTTTTTGTATGTTTACCAGAGGGTAACCCCTCATTTTCCCCCCCACATTGGATCAACACGGAGAAATCCAGCATTGGACCCATTGGGATCCATTTCTCGGGATGCCATATATTTATTCAATGGTACAGTCAGTACCTCCATTTTAGGATCCTGGAATTACCATTCATCAAATGGAGGTAAACCTAAAATGGAACATAAAATGGAATTACCATTCATAAATTACCATAATTTTAGGATCAAGGTTTTGGCTTCGTGACCTATCCTGGGAAGCACTTCCCCCCCAGGTTTAGGTTTAGCTAACCTTAGCGGGTGGGACCCGCGGGCGTGCAATTTTCTTTCGCCGCCCTCGCGCGCTGGTTGGTGGGTACTGAACTGGTCTTGCCCTGGTACCTCACCGCTGCGTTGCAAGTGCTCTGTCGGAGTAGCCAACCGACATCACCACGCTTTTGCATTGGCTTCGACTCCCTGATCTTGGTCCTTGCAATCTTGGCCACGGTCGGGCTTCACTGGAGCATTTTTCCTTTCTTGCCGAAGAGCTGACGGGTTTATGCGTTCATTGACTGCCTATTTTGTCTTGTTTGCCTTCCTCGTGCAGATCCACCATTACTCCGACAAGGAGACGGGCATTGCGAAGGGCGAGAGCTCTTGCTCGCTATCAGTGGTTCCAACACAGAACTGGGGTGAAGACGCTCAGCCATTCGGCCTTGCTGCGCATCCACACAGTTTTGGCAGTGCATCACAGTCGCGACTCGAAGTTCCTTGCCAGGATCCACGACGCGATGGCTACAACAAAGCAACCGTGGAGGTGCCGTACCTGCTACAAGATCGCGAAACCTTCCATGCCCAGATGTGCATGGTGTGGCAAGACTTGGCAGGAGGTCATGGACTACACCTACCAGCCTGGCTATGCTCAGAACCAGCAACCGCATGGGGGATTGGCGGGCTGGGGCCAAGCGGGTCAGGGAAATGCCCAGGGACGAAAGCCCACGCCCCGCAAAAAGTCCAGGAGAGGAAAGCGAGATGGTGGCTCACATCCTCAAGGTGGTCAACAGCAAGGAGCACAAGGTGCAGCTTCTCAGTTCTACCCCCCTGGCAATTGGGCACCAAACCCAGGCAGTGGGCCGTATATGTATCCTCAGCTGCATCAGCCCCCTGCGGTGCAGCAGCAGAGCTTTGCTCCGCCACCTCCGCCGCCCCTGCCGCAGGGACCTGTGTCTGCGCCAGACCAATTCTGGCTACAGCAGATGAATCAGATGCCGGTCCTCAACGCAGTACCTGCGGCGGCACAGAATGCCACACCCACGGCGGCCGAGCTCCACTTGCAGAACATCTTGGGAGCCCTGCGTCATTCCGAAGAAACCTGGACTCCGGAAGTTCAACAAGCAGTTCAGCAGGTGGATCAAACCAACCTGCAACTCAATCTTGGGCAAGTTCATGCCAGTGTGCACGAGATCGGACGCGCCAAGACCGAAGTTGCAGAAGCAGAAGCGGCTCGACTGAGGCTGATTACATCATGGAGAACTTTTCTCCAATACAGCGTGTCTCGCTGGAAAGAATATGCCAGCCTTTTCCAGTCCCAGGAGACAGCCATCCAGAATCAGATCGCAGCTGCAAAAGCCCAACTGATCCAAGCACAGCGACAGTTTGGCAGAACATCCGAGGTTGTGCGCGATGGCTCCATCCCGATCTCGGACGACGAGGAGGGTGTCGACAACGCCGAATCGAAGCAGGTCAAGGACGAGGAGATGAAGTCAGAGGCCACGCACAAGATCACTGCGGGCTTGTCTCAAGTGGTCAATTCGCTTCAGCAGCTCTCCGAACAGGCCGAAGCAGAAGAGCGCAAAGCGAAAAGATTGCGCAGCTCAGGCGATATTCAGCCTGGCGAGGCGCCTGCACCCTCCTCTGCACCTGCACAGCTGCCATCGATGCAGCCTTTTGGCACGCCCGGTGTGAAGTGACTGAAGTGTACACACACCTAGGGCCGAGGGAGTCCTGTGCCGCAGCTACTTTTCATAGCTCTTGGGCACACTCTGCTTGTGACAAAGTAGATTTCGTCTCTCCATGGCAGGCAATTCAAAATGCAGAAGATCTGGCCGTTGATGTGGGATTTTGCAACGCCTTCAGAACCGATGACTTCGTCATGACCACGCCGAAGTGCCGGCATGTGCGACCATCGTTTTCTGACAAGATCGATATCTGCATCTTTTTGGACTATGCCTGCTCCCTTCAGAGTTTCACAATTTCACAGACAGCCTTTGCGGCTTGGACTAGCAAGCCTTGGTCGTTGAATTTATCACACCAGCTGTCTATTTCATCCGGCAGGACCGTTTCCAGCCAAGAGGGTGACGTGATCACCTTGATGCAATTTTCTCAACTACAACGTGAATTGCCTCCCCTGGAGCGTTTTGGACTTCCACGTTTTCCAGAGGATGCCATGGCAGGCCCTACTGACATTCCGCTTGCACCAATACCTCACCATCATCCCATGGACGTTGATGCTCACAATGATGTGGCGGCAGATGATTCATCCTCCTCGCATATCACCAGGGCTGTATTCCTTTATCATCTTGATGATCCTGTCGTCTTTGGTCATATCGACTGGACGGACTATGATTGCATGATGTCGGATGCAGCTCAGCTTTTAGGAGTTGATGTCGATTCACTGGTTGCCCTCTATGAGATCAACGTGCCGCTGGCGGACATTCCATCGGACGCCATCCCAATGATTGTGCACTTGGACAACGATATGGAGCCTGGCGAACCCAGCCGTTTGTGTCTGATCGACTATGAAATGCATGGCAACACTCAGGAGGCGCACTATCAAACTGCACCAGTTGTGGATCGTCAAGTGCTGATCACACCAATTCCTGCTACGTTGCCTGCAATTTTCATTCGCGCTGGAGTTGATGTTTACTGTCATCTTGAAGACGACCGTTGCCTTCTTTTTCACAATCATCACCCAGTGCTTTCACAGAATCATCCTTTGCTACGACCAACTCATGGCGATTACTTGAAGCTCGTGATTCCGCCTTCCCTGTACTGCGACGAGCCCACGCAGCCTCTACTATGGCGCCGGCAGCAGCACAATGAGCTCACCCATGGTGAATCTCCAAGTTGGTCTGAAACTTCAGGATATTCTCCAAGCCTGCTTGATCCGGCCGATCTCCGTGCTCAACTTGGGCTTCCTGATCCAGAAGCAAGTCTTCTCCTCCAAGTGTCTGCAGCGCTGAACATTGACGAGGCCAATCTCGACATTTGTCGGCGTCCCACTTTGCAGCCACCGCGACTTGTGGATATCATTGATGCTGGCTGTTCAGAATACATTCCAAGTCGAAAGCTCAGTTTCACGGAGGAGTTCTTGCGTGCTGTCAATGCAATCAGTACCGCTGCTGAGAACCTGCCGGACTTCCCAGAGAACATGGTCGACCTTGACGAGCTGGCACCCTGGACCCGTGAGCTTTATGAGCACTGGAACCGTCATGCCACGATCGGCCCAGGAGATATGGAGCGATTAGGAAGAGTGGAGACGTGGTTTTCAGACCACCTGAACTACCAAAGGTGCTACCACACCCGCATCGCCATCCTGGGCCCTGACGTGCATCACTGGGAGGACCAGATCAAGCATCTTTGGCGTCAGCACATCATTCCTGAGGCTCCACTTGAATTTCACTTGGTAGCACCAGTGCCAGAAGACGCATCGGGACAAATCATTGGCCAACTCATTGTTGTTCAGCGACCACAGCCGTATCAACGTTCTATTGTGCTGTCAATTTATGATAGCGACTACGATCGCGGCCGTGCGCACTCCCTCGCGCTGGTGATGGCCGATCGCATTGACTTGTTCTCGGTGATGATTATGGCCGAACTGACCGAGGAATGTCCGCCCGAAGCACCTCGCAATCAATGCACCCTTTGGTATGGAGCTCGCCAATTTGCTCCCACTGAGCGCGCTTTTGCGAGACACGGCCATGCGTTTCGCTTGGTACTTCAAAGGGCAGCTCCCATACCATCTTCAGCTCCAATTACCACAAATCTGGAGCGCAGGATGGCTCAGATCCCGAGCTCCTCGATACTTCCGCCATTTTTTGGACCTCAGGGTGCTTCTCCTCCTTGGATTGCAGAACTTTCACGTGCATTTCTAGAACAGGCGGCAGTTGAACGTGAAGATGAAGGCCCAGTTGCATATGTGACTACATGGTACATCCATGCTGTCCTTCGACCCAGCTGTGTCCAGAGCAGAGCCATGCGACTTCGAGATCAGCCTCAAGAATGGCAACGCTCCATTATTGAGCGTTGGGGTGATCAGACTGACAGCATGTTGCCCACGTTCTTGTTCTGGATTTCGCCAGCACCTCCTTCTTCACTGACTCACAGCACCATCGGGCATGTTCTAGTGGCACAAGGCCTTACACCGGACCAAATTGCAGTCCTCATCACTACCCGTGTGCGAGATCAAGAAGGGCAAGCCATTCACCATGTTGCCACCTTCCTGCCCGCACAAATTTCTGCAGAAATGGTCGTTGGGGCTCTTGCACTCCCAGGGCCCTTGCGTCGCTTTCCTCGCAGAGTTGGACATGGCCAAACATATTTGCAGCCTTATGTGGTACAGCCCATTCCGTCCGGCTCTTCCTTGGTTGTCGACATTTTGGGCACCAACCCTGCTTTGCCGCCGGCTGAACCTCAAGTTGATGATGCACTCAACTTGTTGCAAACTCATGCCAAACGCTCCAAGCAGAGGAGTATCCGAGAGCTAGAGCCATCGACCATTCCAGCCTCTCGTGTAACATTGTCATTGGAGGCCTGCCTAGCCGTTGATTTACCTTATCAAGACGTTCATCACGTCTTTCCGGAAACTTCGTGCTGGCAACAACCAGATTGGCCACAGCTCCTTGCCGAGGTACAGCCGTCTTTTGCCATGTTGCCCGATGGTCTGAACCTGCATGCGAGCACATACTATGCCCTCGCCCAACCTTCAATGCCTGGTTCTACAGTACTCTATGTTGATGGGTCCGCACATCGTCAGAGTGCTGCTTGGAGTGTCGTTGCCGTGTCCTCTGATTGGACTGGCCAACCTTCCCTGATCGGGTGCATTGCAGATACAGTACGGGTAGAGAACAATGACCCCTGCTGGCTGGGAGCAACCCATTTTGACAACATTGCGGCCGAGCTTACCGCAGTCAGCGCTGCAATGATTGCCTGTTTGGGTCTTGAGCGTTCATCGGTGATTATTCGCCCTGACCTCGCCCTCAGTGCACGATTGGCCACACATCAATGGCACTGTGCAGCACATCCGGTGCTCAGCAAGATGTCAAGTTCTGTGCAGCTGGTTTCAGAAGTGCTCTGGTACCTTTCGCGAGGTCCGTGGTCATTGTGGAGATCCTTGGAATGAGCTAGCTGATGCAGTCGCCAAACACTGCCTCAACACTCAACAGCCCATTGGAACCTTGCAGATGACTACCTTTTCCCAGTTGGCCAAGAGTCCAGATCTCGATTGGGCTTGGATGTTGGATGCACCTGACACTTTGCATAGGTGCCTTCCACCAGGCTCCTCTGATGGCATATGGCAAATTCAACCTAGTCTTTTGAAGGTCCAGAGCCCTGCCTCCACGAAAGAATCCCCCTCGTGGCATCAAGTTTCCTTCACTTGCATCAGCGCCAACGTTCTTGCACTTGGAGCCAGTGACCCAGGGTTGGAGCCATCCTCTAGTTCGGACCGTGCCTTGCGTCTTGCCCACCAATGGAGCCAACAAAAGGCTCACATTATTGGCTTGCAAGAAACCCGAAGAGCCGCCGGCATTTTCCAAGCTGGTCCGTACAAATGCTTTGCATCCGGAGCTTTGCAATGCCAACGTGCGCATCATTTTGGCTGTGAACTTTGGCTACACCAAGATCTACCTTTTGATGCTCAAGGCACCCTGAAGCTCTGTGACTTTCGCACCACCATCACGCATGCCGATCCTCGACGTCTCCTTGTGAATCTTGCTCATGATGATTGCCAGATGTCCTTTGCCGTGCTTCATGTGCCCTGTAAGACATCACAATGCAGCATTGATGAGATCCAGAATTGGTGGAAAGATACTCTACGGCTGATTCGAGATGCATCCATGGCCCCGTTGACTTGGGCCTTTGTTGACGCGAATGCACCCTTGGCCTCATGCACCACTGACCGGATTGGCCTCGCAGGAGCCGAGCCTATGAATCCCACTGGCACATTGTTTGAACAGGCCATTGATGAGTTACAATGGTACGCGCCTACAACCATGCCGTGGTGCCATACCGGACCTCATACCACCTGGATGCATCCTCGCGGCGCCAAAGCACGGCGAGATTATGTGCTATGTTCAGCAGCAGCCTTCTCTCTCTGCGCCAGCAGCTGGGTTGATGTTCATCATGACGGTGGATTTGGACATGATGATCACCTCCCTGTCTGCCTTCAAGTTAGTGGGTGGATTGAGGCCACGAAAAGTATGCCACCTGTACATTGGGATCCAATGGCCTTCCTTGACCCTGTCAAATGTGCAGCTTTTCAAGAAGCCTTGCATACCCTTCCCATACCTGCATGGCCGGTTCACGTCGATGCTCATGCTGATCATTTTGAAGCCAATCTCTTCTCCCTTGCCAAACAATTTTTCTCCAAGCAGACCACAGACCGACCTCGACCTCGATTGGCCGAAACCACTCGCAATTTGATAGCTTGGAAGAGATCTTGCTTGGACTATGGTCGCAAACATGATCTTATGCACGATCCGGAGTTCAAACAACAACTCAAGTTCATCGAAGCAGACGTCCGGCGACGAGTACATGCTGATCAACGCCTCTTCTATGAACAACTTATCAATCAACTTGCTGCAGCCGGTGATCTGCATGATGCTCGCACGGTCTATCGCACATTAGATCGTCTGGGAGCTCGCAAATCCAAGCGCTCAGTTGGACGAGCATTGCCTATGCTTCGCTCGGCAGGGTGCCCTGTCACATCGCACGAGCAGCAACAGCGATTGTGGCTGACGCAATTCGCTGAAGTTGAGGCTGGTTGCATCATGGCTCCGTCCGAATTTCGGCGCACTTTGCCATCAACACTGGGCCTGCCAGCTTCTGCATTCGATCTTCAGGCCATTCCAACCTTGGCTGATCTTCAGCATCAAGTTCATCGTCTGCGCCGAGGTAAGGCTCCTGGCCCTGATGCAGTGCCACCAGATGTTCTCAAAGCTGGCGGTGAACCTCTTGCCAAGCAATTGCTGATCCTGACGTCCAAAGCTGCCACGCAAGCTCGTGAGCCGGCAGCATGGCGCACTGGTCGGCTTATTCCATTACACAAGGGCAAGCTACCCAGAGATGATCCCAAAGGCTATCGCTCAATCTTCCTCAACAACTTTACCACCAAAGTTTATCACTCTGCGCTCCGCAAGCAATTGGTCACCTCGTGGCAGACTGTGTTGACCCATATTCAGATGGGAGGCAGACAAGGAGTTGGTTGCGATTCAGCCCATCATTTGATTCAATCTCACTTGGCAAGGGCGGCTGCTCACAAATTGCCGTCGGCAATTTTGTTTGTGGACTTCAAAGCAGCATTCTATAGCGTCATTCGTCAGGGACTATTTGAGTTTCCCTTGGATGCTACAGGCTTTGTTTGTGCCATGCACCGCCTTGGAGTTCACCCACAGCAAGTACAGCAACTGTTGGAGGATGCTAAGCATGATGTGGCCATCCAGAACATTTCGCCCCATGCTACTGCTCTTCTGCGTGATGTCCTCAGTGCCACATGTTTTGAGATTGATGGCATCTCAGAGGTTGCTGTGACTCATAGAGGCACTCGTCCTGGAGATCCAATTGGTGACATTGCCTTCAACCTCACGATGGCATTGATCTTGAAGGAGGTGACTGGCACAATGCAGAAGACTTCCGCAGTTTGGGCCGGTGATCCTACTCCGGTTTCAGACTTTACAGTGACGCAGGAACCTGCCGTTCACTCCTGGGCTGAAGTGGCCTATGTGGACGATTTGGCTTTGCTGATCAATGCCCCCGACAACGACATCTTGGCCTCCACTGCTGAGCAGTCGTTCAAAGCCGTCTTTGACGCTGCCCGCAAGCGCGGCTTAGAGCTTACCTATGGGGCTGGCAAGACTGAACTCCTGATGTCTTGGCGAGGTCCGCGATCTCGGTTTTTCAAAGAGCAAGTTGCCAGCAGGCACAACCAGTGGATTATTCACATGGACGAGCCTGAACTGCTGATTGCTTTGCCGGTTGTCCTTGCGTACAAGCACTTAGGTACCTGGGTACACAATGACGGCAAACCTTTACACGCAATCCGTGAACGCATCACTGCTGCACGCAAAGCCTGGGGCCCTTTATGCAAATCCTTCTTTGGCAAGCATGGAGTTGCACCCAAAACAAAAATTCAGGTCTTCAATGCCTTGGTGATGACTCGATTTCTCTTCAATGCACATACCTGGAGTTGGCTTTCGTCTGACATGATTGACATTTGGGAAGCTGGTTTGCGTCCGATGCTATATCAACTTGCACGTCCTCACCTTCGTGGCCAACCACCCTTTGAGTGCGACGTCAACACGCTTTGTGGCCTTTGTGAGATCTTGCCACCTCGAGCACAATTGCATTTAGCCAGGTTACGCTATTTCAAGCGCATGGTGACACATTGTCCCGCAGCTCACTGGCTTGCCCTTGCTCAGGTGCGCAACATGGATGGCTCATGGCTTTCATTATTGCAGGATTCTTTTCATTGGTTTGCTACCTTCAGCCACCGCAAATTTGGGTTGACGGTCGACTCCACCTGGTCGGACTGGCTTACGGTAGTGCAGATGGATGGTCAGTGGAAGGGTCATTTGAAAAGAGCCACAAAGTCGTGTATTGCTTATCATCATGCCAACGCCCAGACTTGCGTGTGGCAGATGTGGTTACGAAGAGCTCTCAGGACATCTGGAGTTGAGATGCCAGTTGCTGTTGTTTCTCCTTCTCAGCAGCAATGGCGTTGTGGCATTTGTAATTCCCTTTTTGATTCTAAAAGGGCGCTTGCAATGCATGCCGCTCAGAAGCATGACTATCAAGCCGTTGTGAAGCACTTTGCGCTAGATGGTATGTGTTCGAACTGTGGCAAACTTTTTCATTGTCGAGCCCGACTTTGCGCGCACCTTCGACATTCGGAAGATTGTCTTCTCCGCATTAGAGCTGCGTTTCCGCCCTTGCCAGCCGACGAGCTTGCTGCTTTGAATGAGGCGGATCGAGTTAGTGCTCGTGCGTTGAAACAGCAGGGTTGGCTTCCCACCAAGGCTTGCCTTCCAGCAGTTCGTGCATGCGGGCCCTGCCTTCCCCCACCTTCTTCTGAAGATGCGGACATCCTCCTTCAGAAGTGGCGTCACCGCCTTGGCTATGATGGGTGTCGTCTCTTTGACGGTTTGGAAGGATTTTGTGAACATCCTGATGACAATGTACGGTTGCTGCCCGGCCCACCGGAATGTGACCAGCCTGCAGACACCATGCCATTCATCATGCATTCCGTCACTGGATCCGAACATGGACAAGATGGATGCTTTTCGATGACTGGTCTTGCTCGGATCTATGCGCAGCTGCATCTGAAGACTTTGTGCTTCGTACATTTTTATTCAGGATTCCGACGTGAAGGTGACATCCAACACCAGATCGAGAACCATATCATTCAAGGACATTTTCATGTCTTCTGCATCAGCATTGACTTTTGCTTGCAGGGTGACGCTGGCGATTTAACCACAAGTCGCAGTCGTGCTTTTTGGACGGACAAGATCAAAAATGGCGCTATCTTTGGTGTCGGAGGGGGGCCGCCCTGCGAGACATTCACCGCTGCGCGCCTGATGGAGGGCGGCCCCCCTCCGGTTCGAAGCTTTGATGAGCCGAACGGCCTGCCGTCCAATACAGCTAGACAGTGGCGCCAAACCCAGCTTGGAACGATCCTGATGCAGTTCCTTATGGAGATGGTTTTTTGGTGTGCCCGCCTTGGGGGGTGCTCGTTTTTAGAGCATCCGGCCTTCCCTTTGTGGGCGCAACGCCTTCGCCCAGCGAGTACGTGGACGTCTCCATCAATGCGCTGGTTGAAGCGATTGCATTGCTCCACCTTTGTCACGTTCGACCAATGCATTTATGGTTGCGCAGGAATGAAGCCGACCACCTTCATGCTGGTACGAATGCCGTGGCTTCGAACCTCCATCCAACGCCTTGGACGCTGCGGTAGATGCCCTCACCCGAAGGGATTTCACGAAGCTCTGAAAGGGCGTGATGCCAGTGGCAATTTCAAAACGGCGATTGCCAAAATCTATCCTGCTGCTTTGAATTCGGCAATTGCTGACGCAGTTGCAATTTTTGTGCAGCAGACCTTTTTTGGTTGTCCTCCTCCAGCACAGGCCATGGAGGCAGAACTGCTAGAGCTTAGCCAGATGGATTTTGTTTCCAGAGAAGTTGTACAGCCGGACTTTTACCTGGATTAGCACAGTTCTGGCATAAGCTTGCATGCGTCCAAGCAGATGACTCTGCAGCACGCCGAAAGGAATTTTTTTTTAGGATCATATATATATATATATATATCCCATATATATACAATCTGGTTATGACATTCACAGTTCGCCATGGCACATCACGTAACATCACCCATGGTGAGGCCTGAACTGGCTGACGGCGGCCGCGGTCACCAGCCAGGTGAGACAGCCGGGTTTTCGGAATTTTCGTGGCCAGAAAAATGGGCGTTTTAAAGATTTTACCATGGTGAATTTAACAAAGAAAAATTATGATTTAATGGCTTTTAATGATGATTCATGGGGTTTTCATGGGTTAACAATGGATGAATCATAACTGTATAGTGGTTTATAGCGCTTAATCATGGTCAACTTTGGGATATTTAATGTGAGCAACTACAATCAGCAGGTTGATGATATGCCATGATATGCCCAAAAGTTGGGATATTGGTCAACCCCACATGTTCATAGGATCGGGAAATCCAATTCGTGATGGTGGAATGACAATGTTTTGACAGTGGCACCTCTAAACCATGGAACTTTGGGTTTTCCGGCCCCGTGATGCCTTGGGACGCTGTGAGAGGGGCTGAAACACGGCTAAACATTTGTCTCTTTGTTTCGGTGGTGCCAGGTGGGATAGGAATCATGGTAGAAAAGCTTTTTTTTTTTTATTATCATCATCAATGATTCAATGATTCTGACCGCATCATCATATATCTATAATTCATGGTTACTTGATGGTGATTTAATGGGGAAATTAAAACGGATATCATCATCAAGTGCCATGGTTATAACCACCATCCATTTCCAGGTTCACATTGTGTATTGCGTGTGTATTGCCCCTTAGGATCAACGAAAACCACCGAAAAAGCTAGCAGCTAGGAATGACATGTGTATTTTTAAAACTCTTAAAAAACCCTATGAATATGCGGATGTTTCATGATTTTTCATGAAATCCTCAAATCCATTCGAATCCCGCAAACTGTTTGTTGAGTTACTTTTCAACCTTTTCACCTCATTTTGGGGTGAAATTCTCAAAATCAGCGCCGTGACCGCCGTGAGGTGATTATGGCGGTGCAAGCCTTGGGCTCGATCCGTGAACTGGCGCTGGAATGGCCTTATCCAGTGAGGCGATTTTGTCGGATCAACGATTGTTTCGTGTACCAATCAGGAATTAAAAGATGGGATGACAATACCATATTACGTACCTTCAATTAGTCATTCACAATTATTCATTTTAATCACATAAAAGCCCAACACAACATTTTATTATGAAAACATATTGTGAATGACTAATTGAAGGTACGTAGAATTCAAAGTCGGTTTTGTTACAAAAAAAAAGGAATCACATATTGACAATAGTAATTTCAATGGTCATTAATGGTATCTATAGCTATTCTATAGCTCAATCTATGTCAATAATGGTATTCTATAGTCAATCTATGTCTATTTTCTCATAGCTCAGCCAGGAAGCCAACCATTAAGCGTCGCGTCTCGGCTGCGTAGGCGTCTCATTGACTTGACCCGGCTTCTGTGGCTTGGACGTGTTCAGGTGTTCAGGTGCAAATGCGGGTCATCATCATCATCATCATCATCATCAGCATCATCACCACCATCATCATCACCATCATCATCATCATCAGCATCATCACCACCATCATCATCACCATCATCATCATCATCATCAGCATCATCACCACCATCATCATCATCATCAGCATCATCACCACCATCATCATCACCATCATCATCATCATCACCATCATCCATCATCATCATCACCATCATCATCATCATGAGTACCATCACCACCATCATCATCATCACCATCATCATCATCACCATCACCATCACTATTACCACCACCACCACCATCATCATCATCATCACCATCATCATCAGCATCATCACCACCATCATTATCACCATCATCAGCATCATCACCACCATCATCATCATCAGCATCAGCATCATCACCACCACCATCATCATCAGCATCATCACCACCATCATCATCACCATCACCATCATCAGCATCATCACCATCATCATCATCAGCATCATCACCACCATCATCATCATTACCATCATCATCATCATCACCATCATCATCATCATCAGCATCATCGCCACCATCATCACCATCATCATCATCATCACAATCATCATCATCAGCATCATCACCACCATCATCATCAGCAGCATCATCACCATCATCATCATCATCACCATCATCATCACCAGCATCATCACCATCATCATCACCATCATCACCACATCATCATCATCATCATCAGCATCATCACCACCATTATCATCACCATCATCATCATCACCACCATCATCATCATCACCACCATCATCATCACCATTATCATCATCAGCATCATCACCACCACCATCATCATCATCACCATCATCATCATCACCATCACCATCACCATCACCATTACCACCACCACCACCATCATCATCATCACCATCATCATCATCATCAGCATCATCACCACCATCATTATCACCATCATCAGCATCATCACCACCATCATCATCATCAGCATCATCACCACCATCATCATCACCATCATCATCATCATCACCATCATCATCACCATCATCATCATCAGCATCATCACCATCATCATCATCAGCATCATCACCACCATCATCATCATTACCATCATCATCATCATCATCATCACCATCATCATCATCAGCATCATCGCCACCATCATCATCACCATCATCATCATCATCATCACCATCACCATCATCATCATCAGCATCATCACCACCATCATCATCACCAGCATCATCATCACCATCATCATCATCATCATCATCACCATCATCACCACCATCATCACCACCATCATCATCACCATCATCATCA